AATTAAAAGGGTTGGTTTGGATGTGTGGTGATTAGTGACCGTTAATCGATAATTATTCAGAAATCGTGAGATGCGGTCTGGTGTGATGTAGGTTTCAGAAAAACATTTTCTTTATCGTGCCAACGTTTCGATCTTTATTGAGATCATCTTCAGGGCCTGGGATTTACAAACATTGTTTACATTTAACAAATACATTTAGGATGTGGAAAAGTGAATTTATACAATGCAAAATATATTTTTTATATTCAATCAAAGTATTTCTACTCACTCAAAGTGTTTGTCTTCTGTGTAATTGTGCCATTCTTGCGTGTCGTGTTGAGAGTGCCAGTGAGATTTTGTTGTTTTATGTTACATCACACCAGACCGCATCTCACGATTTCTGAATAATTGTTGGTTTGGGTGTTGACTAGCTTGGCTGAAGCCCAAAACTAGACAACGTCCAAGTCGGTGTAATTAGTGTCTCTTATATTGTCGGTTTATTCTGTGTACTCATTGTGGATTTGGGTCCAAGTAGGCGTCTAAGTTGTAAGTTCTAGTTGTTTTTGTTTTATGTGTTCCATGTAAGTCTGATGTTCAAGTAGAACCCAAGGTAGCGGATTTGGTTGAATGGAAGGGATTAACTTACTGTACATATTGGTGGGCAGGTTTCTTCTAAGTGTGAACGTCACGTGCCGGATCTTTTGTTCACTAGGTTGTACGCCACTGAATGCTCAAGTCAGTAATGGGTCTAGGTTTTGGGGTTACTTTTACTGTAAGGATAGGGGCAGAATGTAAGAAGAGTATTGCCGAATCTTCCTCAAAGGTTTTGAAGATTTTAAAATCACCTGTGCATTTTTCCACTCCTGAATAATATATTCAAGTATGTGTTTTTGTTCAAAATTTTACGTTAAATTTGAATAAATCAGTGGTTCTCCATTTCAAAATCTTAATTCAGCCAAATTTTAAATAGAAAAAACTCGTGGCTGTTAGTAGATCTAATATTTCTTACCACCTACCTACATAAATATTGAAAGAGTGAGAGAGAGAGAATACTTTATTCTGGGATGAGGGCGCCCTAAGAATAACAATAAGGTCACAGACATTTTTACAAATCTGGCACTTGAATTAATAAAGACTTGTAGTTAGTAGTTAAGTTGTAGTGGAATAAGTTGAAATAAATCACCTAATACATAATAAAAAAAATGGAATAATAGTAGCAATAATAAGAATTAAAAGAAAAAAGTAATAAAAAGAATTCTCAGTCATAATCGCAAAATGTTTACTTAAAAGTTGGACTATTTTGTCTCTGGAGGGAGATGAGGTCTAGTATTTGAAATAGGTAAGGGAGGCGGCTTTGCCGATTTGCAAAGGAAGATAATTCCAGAGATTTGTGGCTCGAGCTAGGAAGGCAAATATGGAGGTTTTATGACGAGGGAGATATAGGTCATTTGAAAAGGGAGAGGGTGTTACCAGAGTGGATAGAAGATTTGAATTGGAATAACTGGAAAATATAGTGAGGTCGACGAGAGTTTATGGATTGAAAAAGGAAAGAGGGATAAAGCCGGGATCTGACTACAAGTGTGATACTATTGACATTCGGGAGTGCCGAAAATAAATCTGATACTATAATTCATCAGTATTTTCAGACGCTTATCTTGTTCCTCCGAAAGTAAAGCATAAGTGATACAGTTGTAGTCGAAGAGGGGAAAGATGAGGAATGGCGATTGGTAGTAGAAGCTAGGACCGGTGTAATTGAATGATGGATGCAATACAGCTGGGAAATTTGGGCAATGTGTGGTTTCCAGGAAAGGTCTTGGTCGAAGGGGTTTAACAGTTAAAGTTTGAGTTTCTGTCTGATGAGGCACCGAAGAGTCTACCGGGAAAAGGGGATGCCTCATTTCGTGCACCCTTCAGTGAAGTTTGGAGGAGGTGGTGTAATGGTGTGGGCTGGGATTTACGGACGAAACTGAGGACGAACTAGACTCCATATTGTTGAAGGCGACCTCACCGCAGTCCGTTATGTCCAAGAAATTACCGAGGAAGACATCCCTCAAACCGAGGATCTCATCGGCAAGGATTTTCGATTTCTGGATGACAATGCCACACCTCATGGAGGCAGAGTTGTTCATCAATGTTTAGAAAACATGGGAATTTACCATCTGCCCCTTCCCTCGAGTACATATGGGATGCTTTGTAGAAAAGGCTTTTCGATCACCATCCGCAGCAGTTGACCTGCAACAATTCCTTATGAAATAGTGACAACCTTATTAACAGTATGCCTAACAGGTGCACAGAGGTTTTAGCTAACAAAGGACATTATATACGATGATAACCATAAACAAGTTTGTTTCCAATAAACAAAATTATGGAATTAAAACCTTTTATATTGTTATTTTTCAAAATCCCTTAATTAAAATTTCCTTCAGTAAAAAGCATAACAATTTCTAATAAATTTTAATATTATTTATAATAAATGTGCTAGGGAAAGTAATACTACGAATTGGCAATATTCCTATACATTTTTGAGCAGTTTAGGCTGGTTGTTGATGGTGAAAGGAGGAATAGGGAGGGATTTCAGGAGGTGACTGGATCCTATAACAATGGCTTTGGAATTCCGAAGGCTTAATTCTGGGTTGTTTTTATCTGCCCGTTCGTTTATGGAATTTAGATCATCCTGAATTCTGGGGATGGCCAAACGCAGGTTGAAGGGATGGAAGGACTGATAAATTATGGAGTCTTCTTCGGCATAGAGAATATTGAATATTTAATACTAAATGCAGGTTTATTAGATTTGAACATCGTTTGTTCATTTAATGACAAAAGCATAAACTATACTAAACATTTTTTACACTAATTGTAGGATTCGTGATCATTTTTTTGCCGACGTTCCGACTTTTATTCGAGTCATCTTCAGGGTACAAATTGCGGTGCTATTTCTGGGGTGTCATAGCGGTGTTGTGTGAAATTGTTGTTGACGAATCCAACAATTATTGAAGAACTACATCACTAAAAATAGAAAAATAAAAACACATTTTTTACACTATTTTCATAATTTCTTGTGTTTTTGGTATATAAAAGAAACTAATTTTTTTCTGTGAAAGAAACAATTTCGCCTGTGTATTTGTTTTTGTTCTCGATTTATCCTAAAACTGGTACATTCGGTGTACTTAAAATCGAAACCGTTCTGTCGTTTTGTCCCTTCTTCAATATTGTGTTGAACCATTCTTCCAACCATTGATAACTCTCAAAACGGAAAATAACAAATTTCATACCAGAAATAATCGAAGCCTTTGTGGCGTAATGTACACGATTTTATTGTCCGAGAGAAATGTTAATACGCCATAGAAATGAAATTTGCTTAAAAACATGCTGCTTAAAAAGTCTAAGTAGTACTATCTTTTCTACAAAGTGATGCTTAAAACAGCCTGTGAGTACAATTATGTTTCCAAAGCATGCTGCTTAAAACAGTCTGTGAGTAGAATTATGCTTTCCAAAACATGCTGCTTAAAACAGTCTGTGAGTAGAATTATGCTTTCTAAAACATGCTGCGTAAAAAAGTCTGTGAGTAGTACTATCTTTTCTAAAAAGTGCTGCTTAAAACAGTCTGTGAGTACAATTATGTTCCCAAAAAATGCTGCTTAAAACAGTCTGTGAATAGTACTATGTATCTTTTTTAAAGTGCTGCTTAAAACAGTCAGAAAGTAGAACCATCTTTTCTAAAAAGTTCTGCTTAGAGCAGTCTATGAGTAGAATTATGCTTTCCATAAAAATAATAAAAATCTTGTTAATTGTATTTAAAAATAGTCATTTTATTTAATGAAATCCAAGAAACGCCCCATCGAAACTTATAAAATTCTTAAAAAAGTATAAAAACCTTAACGAGTTGTAAATTCTATAAATTTGATATCTTCATCGTAAAACGTTCGCCGATAATAAAAGAAAATAAAAAAATTTATATTGGAATTTTACGACAGCCTCTAAAACCAAATGTAATTCAAAAGGCTAAAATATAAACTATATTAATCCTGGGGGAAATTATTTAGATACACTCATACAAGGAGTGAGAATTTTAAAAAAATACAGTGCATTGATAGAAAGGCTATATTACTTTCTTTACTGTCCAGTTCACTTGGCCATTGGTTCTTCCCCATTCATTTTTTTATTATATCAACCCTTCTGATAATTTATACCTAACTGATAACTGCCAATACTTAAAATTATACACTGCTACTCTTCCTAAAATTATAATTCCATTTGTAATAAAACGAATTATGTATGTTAAAAAATTTCCCGAGCGTGTGTTGGGAGTGAATTTATGATTTGAGAGAATGTGTGAGAGGGTCTATGGCATAATGTTGAGTACCCCATGGGCACTGGATTAGGTTAGGAAATATACTAGGAGGAAAAGCGATGGAGTAATATCAATATTACAACTTTATGAGCGAAAGGCATGTAAATTGGAAAGAATGGATTTATGAATAAATGAGAGTGAATGGTTTTGGATTTAGGAACTGATTGCGTTGGGACAGGTATCGACTTAGCTGTTGACACCTCCATGCGTCCAACCTCGGACGGACATGATCGAAATCTGACCCCGGACTGCCAAGACCCGAGGTAGGTGATTCTCAAAGCCGGTCGTTAATTTATTACAAAAACTGGAATTGGAATTGCTCAACTGCGAGAAGTGACAGGCTCAACTTTGTACTCGTGTGTGCATGACTGTGAAGATTTGAAGTTACATCAATCAGTAGAAAATAATCGTCCAACCGACAGCCAAAAATTCTATAAATGTACTTTTTCTCCCAATCGATATTATTATTTTGATTTATAAACAAGCAATTATTACATATTAAAAATAATATTTTAAAATGATAATTACAAAAGCCACGGCTTATCACAGCCAGTTACTAAGTGAAATCCCCTTTCTGCTTATTATTGATACAACTGGTGAATAATCTTCCTTGTGCTTCCCTGTCTATTTTTTTATTGTTATATAAACGTTCTCTTGTTTGTTTTTACAGTCGATGCAACCCGTGCCCTGTGGTAAAGCCCACCTTCCTCTGCGGTACGGACAACCGCACGTACAGCTCCCTGTGCAGACTCGACTACCACAACTGCATCCATCACACGAGCGTGAAAGTCTACTGCAAGGGATTTTGCCCGTGTAAAGGTGAGTTCATTACCGCTCACTTAACGTTCCGCCCAGGATGTTATATGATAGATAGGGAGCGATATTTTCTTACATGGTTTATGACTTTCTGATAGCCTTAAAGACTCTTCAGAAAGAGATTACATGCATCATATCGATACAGACATGAACTGTTCTGAATTATCTATACTTGTATGAAAAAATGAAAATCATTCCAACATGCCCAACTGTAAAGTAATTAATAGATACTAACAAAATAACTTTTATTAAACGTGTCAGAACGACGCAAAATTTCATTATTTTAAATTTTAATTTTCTTATTTTAAAAGAACAATAGGTTTTAGAATCTCGTTTTTGTTAGAAAAAATATTTTTTGTGATCTTTAAATGTATAGAAAAATGTAAACAGGATTTGAAGAAAAAAAAATAGATTAAGTTGGAAGAAACCTTTTCAAAACCTAAGATGTTGACATTTTTATATACATTTGAATTTTCATTATACATATACATTTTTTTTTCAAATCGAGATGGCATTTCTATATCCATTTGAAGATCACCAAAAGACTTCAACAAAAACAATTTTTTTTTTTAAATCACGAAGTTGACAATTTTCTCTGTTTGAAAATTGCAAATAAAGATCCACCAACAATTTTTTTTTTAATCGTAAGATGTTCGCATTTTATTATCCATTGAACGAACACGCGTGTTCATATGATTTGAAAAAACAACTAATTTTGTTTTTGTTGTTCTTTTTTGGTCAAAAGGATATGAAAATGCCATCTCATGATTTGAAGACAAAAAACATAATTTTGTTTTTTGTTGGAAGAAGTCCATTATGGTGATGTTCAAATGGATACAAAACTGTCAACATATTATGGGAAAAAAACTAATTTTTGTGTGTGATGGTTATATGGTTAGAAAATTATCATCTTGTTTTGAAAAAATCGAATTTTTGTGTGTGATGATTAAATGTTTAGAAAATTGTCAACTTCTTATGATTTGAGGGAATTGTTTTTTTCTTTTTGTTGAAGTCTTTTTTGGTGATCTTCAATTGGATTTAAAAATGCTATTTTATAATTTGAACAAAAATTATAATTTTGTTTTCGTTGGAAGAAGTCCTTTTTGGTGATGTTCAAATGGATATAAAAATGTCATCTTGTTTTAAAAAAATCGAATTTTTGTGTGTGATGGTTAAATGGTTAGAAAATTGTCTTCTTGATTTGAAGAAAAAAAAGAATTTCTTTTTGTTGTCTTTTTTGGTGATCTTCAATTGGTTTTAAAAATGCCCTTATAATTTGGAAAAAAATTATAATTTTGTTTTTGTTGGAAGAAGTCGTTTTTGGTGATGTTCAAATGGATGTAAAAATGTCAACATCTTGTTTTACAAAAAATCGAATTTTTGTGTGTGTGTGATTGTTGAATGGTTACAAAATGGTCATCTTATGATGAAAGAAAAAAAAATTTTTGTTCAAAGAAGTCTTTTTTGAGTGTAGGGTCCTCAAATGGGTAGAAAAATGTCAAAATCGTATGATTTCAAAAAAATCCTATATTTGGTTATGTTGGAAAAAGATTTTTTGTGTGATAGTCAAATGGATAGAAAATTTGAAAATAAAAAAAATTAAAATTTTGTTTTGTGGGGAGGTCTTTTTTGCTACCTTTAAATATATAGAAAAGTGTTAACACCTTATGATTTGAAAAAAAATTAATTTTGTTTTTCTCGAGATACGTCATTTGTGAGCTGTGTTTGAACAGAAAAGATGTCAACTCGTACGATTTGAAAATAAAATCTAAGTTAGTTCAATCTGTAAAAACAAGAAGCGAAACTGTGGTTGGTGATGACCTCAGTTGGAACACAGGACCGATAAGTTAAAAATAAATTTACTAGTACATCGGAAATATTTATGTAAGTTAATTAAGCGTTTAAAACATTTTGGTGTTGCCTATTAAAACATCGTATATTTGATTCTACCGGAGATAATGCAAACTTTGGCAGATTATTCAATTAAAGCTTTAGACCGGTTTAATATAATAAAACCTAAAAATTGAACTTTTTTTATCTCTAAACATTAAGCTGTTATCATTTACGACTAAATTTTCATTTAGGTTAAATCCTTAATTAATTTTTTCCTCTTATGAATATGTAAAATCTTCGTTTATCTTAATTTGTGATTTTTTAAAGAAAATGCTTCGTTTAATAAAACTGTCAATAAATTGTCCTATTTTTACCCCAAAACGACTTTCAAAAAATTAGGGTCGGCTTTTTCCTGTTCCTTTACCCGTGTTTGATCTGGATTAAAACGCTAACGATGCCGATCGGCCGACTTTAATCGAATTACCAAGTCTGAATCATGGCGTAATTAATTTTTCTTGCCAATAATAAATAATTTATTTAACGCTTAAACTTCAAAGTTAAGCAGAGTATAAAGTTATAAATTTATATATTATTACCCTTATTAAAAAAAAGTTTAAATGTATGGTGGTTCGTGGTAGTTTACTCAACAAAACAATCTACAACATCCAACAAACTTCTTGGGTCTACCACTACACGCAGGATAGCGTGTATAGAACTGCAAAGAAAATGATAGTTTTTTCCAAAACACGGTTGCAAACGGCATTGATGTCGCTAAAAAAATTTCAAACTATAAAGATCGATTTCCTTTATGATCATAGAACAATCAAAGCACCATTCCAAACTTGCCAACATATGTACGTATAAAACATAATGTGGGAAGGTTAGGGGATGTGACATAGCTGAGATCATCGCCGGCCCTCTGCCTGTTTTACTTCTTTCTTCTGGTCTTTCACGGTTATTTTTCAACCTGCAGCCGTTTGTACGTCTCGATCAGTTACTGCTTTTGTATGGAAACTAAATCGACATCCAATAACGCTAGCCTCTTATTTGTATCTCAGAATGTCAACTACAGAATAGGCACTAAATATACAATAATATTTACACACCAATACACTATACAAACAAACCTAGAAGTCTGGTCATATTCACTCCCCAGAATAATCGATATTTCTTGGGCGTGGTTGAACCCACACCATTCTTGCTAATAATTTACTTTTTCTCTCCAGACGTCACACACTCATCCCAGAGTACTCGATATTCCTCGGGGTGGGGCCGAACCCACTCCATTCGCGCTAATAACTTACGTTTTCTCTCCAGACGTCACACTCTAACCCCAGAGTAATCGATATTCCTTGGTGCGTGGTTGAACCCACACCATTCTTGCTAATAATTTACTTTTTCTCTCCAGAGGTCACACACTCAACCCAGAGTACTCGATATTCCTTGGGGCGTGGTTGAGCCCACACCATTCTTCCTAATAACTTACTTTTTCCCCCCAGACGTCACACACTCAACCCAGAGTAATCGATATTCCTTGGGGCGTGGTTGAACCCCCTCCATTCTTGCTAATAATTTACTTTTTCTCTCCAGACGTCACACACTCAACCCAGAGTACTCGATATTCCTTGGGGCGTGGTTGAGCCCACACCATTCTTCCTAATAACTTACTTTTTCTCTCCAGACGTCACACAAACACCCCAGAGTAATCGATATTCCTAAACGCCGCTAATAAATTACATTCATTCCAATAAATTAACATAAACATAACACCTCATGCAAACATAGAAAAGAACAGAGTTTCTGCCAAAACTGTCCGATGATTTTTTACACTGCTAGAATTATAAAATTCCATTGGGTGGGAGATATATGTTTTGAAGAACGGTAGTATTCGATAGTTCGGCTGTTTTATTCAATAAATTGTTTTAAAACCTCATCATTTCTGGCATTCATATAATGCTTAAAGTCTGCTGTCAAACTGCATTTAACTGATAACTATGGATTTTAGTCGGTATATAGCAGATAGAGAACGGTTTAAAAAAAAACTTTAAACCTAGACGGGAAGCTTGTTTTAAATTGGAAAATTAAAATTCCAAAACAATGATTCGCCATGTGAGATTAGCTCGATCCTACACGTGTTGCATGTTAATTCGGCTCGTTTGCCTAAAATTAAACGGGCCCCAAATTAGCCATCATTAATCCTGCAATTCCGAGTGTAGGTACATGTTAAATTAATTTCCTAAGAATATATGCAAAATTGTAGGACGAAGAAACCAAAATTTTTGTTGAGGATGTGTTGTGAAATTAGAAATTATTTTCGAAAACATGTACAACTTTTTCATTGCCGGGAAATAGATTTCAACAATTTTTCCAAGTTTCTTGCATTTTTAGTTGCAGAAGAAAGAACTACTTAAGATTAAGAGGCTATATTTTTTGTTTATTTACTTTTATTCCCTCCGATTCGCTCAGGGCGGCCCAAAAGCTCATAAGAGCCTTCGTGGATCCTCCAATAAATAAGAAAAAAACAGTTAAAATAAAAATGAAAAGTTAAATACGATTTTAACGAAATGGAAAAACCGCTGGAATAGTAAAGCAGGTTAAGAAAGGCGTCGGTCTCTGGTCCAAGGAGAACGATTAGAAAATAGAACAAGACTGCGCATAGGTTATGCAAGACTCACGGACACTTTCTGGGCGGAAAGCACTTTTTTTCAATTTTAGACGGCTTGAATGTAGGCAATATTTAGGAATCCGGCCTGTGTTCAGTTTTGGGCCACGGCAACGAGCACAAATCGCTGTGCCGGTACCTCAGAGTCGTGAAGATTTTTTTAATGTATATAGTGTCTGTGTTGTGTTTATGTTAATTTATTGGAATGAATGTAATTTATTAGCGTGAAAGGAAGAGGTTGTCAAGGAATATCGAGTACTTTGGGGCGAGGGCTTGACGTCTGGGGAGCAAAAGTAAGTTATTAGCGCGAATGGGGGTTCAACCACGCCCCGAGGAATATTGAATACCCTGAGTGAGTGAATGTGACTAGACTTCAATGTTTGTATAGTGTGGTGATGTATATTATGTATATGTTTAATGTCTATTCTATAGTTGACATTCTGAGGTACAAATGAGAGGCTAGCGGTGTTGGATGTCGACTTCGTTTTCATACAGAAGCCGTCGAGACGCACAAAAGCTGCAGGTTGAAAATTACCCATGAAAGACCAGAAAAAAGAATTAAAGCAGGCAGAGGGCCGGCGATGACCTCAGCTGTTTCACTTCCCTCGTAGTATAGAAATAAGAAGCCCCTGTTTTTCTGGTGTCCAACTAGAGATTCGCTTTATCTCTGTAGTTTTAATAATGTGCATTGGAATAGGACATATCTCTTGATTGCATCTGCAGACTGCAAAGGTCAACGTGCGAAATTTGTGCAAGTTTGCTATCATGGCAGTCAGGAACTGGACAAGCCATAAGTTGGGTCTAATCCACTGGGTTGACATTCGCTCATTGTTCGTCAGGATATGGATAAATAAGGCGGAAAGAAGGCCTTCTGCACCTCGACTTGAGTAGATCTATTGCGCCCCTATAATTGTATAAATCACTGTCTCGCTTCATTGTTATTCAACCTCCATAGCCTTGCCAGGGGCTCCTTAGTGTATGATCTTGCGGCTTTTACTCTCCTAGTTACAAGAATCTCCACCAACATAAACTCTCACAAAAACATACAACGTGTTGTGCGATCTCCTCTTCCTAGCAGTAGCTGCAATGTTTCTTCTGCGCATGTGCCTTGTTAGGCGGTAGTGCCTTGTCAGGAGTCCAACCAGACTCCTGGTTATCCTCCTGTAAGTCTTACGAATGTTCCTTTTATTGATCAATCACGTACTTCATTCCTGGGGTGTTGTTGCTCGTTAGGTTTTGGATTAATTAAGGGTTCTTCTTTGTATGTATCATTGTTATGGCATAGCGTTCGAATTCCAATAGGGTTCGAGGCCTCGATGATTCATATTGGTTTCTTTATTGACAAACAAGTCCACTTTTCCATTGCCTTTATGTCCCGAATACCCAGGGTCAGGTCATTTGGTATCCCTGACTTCTGCCAGGATTCCACACAATTATGCTTTTTACCTTTCGGAAAAAAATCGCTATATTCCTGGAATGTGTTCCTAGCTTTTTTAATTCTCTAGCGCTGTGTTCAATTGCTATGATCTCAGACTGTATAATTGTAGCATATTTACCCAACTTTAAAGTCAGTTCGGCCTGCAGATTCATCCCAAGGACCTTCCAATGCTGATCTGCTTCCACGTCTCTTGGTCACATCCGACAGCTAGCCTTTTTTTACTTTATCATTTCTTTTCTTTCTCAATTTTTAAGTAGTTACTACTCTGTTTTGCTTTTTTATTCTTAAATTAACAGACAGATCAAATTTGAATTGTACTTCAATTAATTATCCCGCTCGTGACACTGACTTTTTATCACAACTTAAAACCTTAATTAATTGAATGATATTGATTGGTCAAGCGGACCACGAAAAATAGTGAATTTAATGAATTAAAACGAAGTATTCTTCACTAAAGCTCTCCGTGGCCATTTCACTTGTTCGCCGAGAATCAAATAGATTACACGACATTTGAAAAATGGCAAAAATGAGGGAAAATTCAAAAGATGCGGTTGAAATGGGAAGTTAGTGCCCGAGGGGATCGAAGTCACGATAGCTCAAGTGGTAGAGTAGCGGCGTATCAAGCCGAAGCTCGTGGGTTCGAATCCCGCTCGTAACAATTACATTTTTATCTCAACTTAAAACCTTAATTAATTGAATGATATTAATTGGTCAAGCGGACCTCGAAAAATAGTGAATTTTGAATTGTACGTTATGATTGATGACAATAAAGTGGATTTGTCCACTTAAACAAACGGTAAAATTCAATTAAACTTTCATTTTGAAAGTCCTTTATAATGTTCTTATTTGATTTTCTTTAAATTCGGTTCATTTTTAATTAAGGTTTTGTTTTTTAGTCGAAAAATTTAGCATTAGCGCTAAATGATTGAGTACAATAGTAGAATTTTGATCTAAATTGAATCTATATGTCCTATTCTAAATCTAGAATTTCTTTATGTTCTCCAGTTTATTTTTACAGCCCCTTGAAAAATCTCATTAAGCTTTTCCTTGCCTTGGATAATAAATAACATTTATTTTTAGCGCTTCGTATTGTACGACTGTTTTATAAATAACATAAAAAAAAGCACCTCAACTACTTTTAACAACACAAATAATCTTGTAACCGAATAAGTTAATAAAATTCTTTGCCCAATGTAATTTTATTTATCGACAATAGCTCTTGGAAACTTGCAAGTTTTCTGTGATTTATTTTGGAAAGCGTTTCGAAAAAGGGTTTGCGAATTCATATTCAGTCTACGGACGAAACTCCAGTTGTTTTCCCTGGAAAAGTTTTTAACGTGTCCCACCACCTTCAAACCTTCAATATTAAACTGTATAGGCAGGACAGTTTTATAAAGGTCGATAAGTTAAAAGAGATATAGAAATGTCAAAAATATTGTATATTTAGTCAATTTTTCTATTTGCGAATCCTTACAAATGGCCAGTTTGTCTCAAATTAAAATATCAGTTCTAATGTTTTTTAAACCATATCCAACCCTTTTCTGACATGTCTTCTTCTTGAATTTATTTAAAAAAAGGTTAATAGTGAATTCTAATTGATTTCAGAGGGAGAAGCGCACAGGAAGAAGCAGAAGCAGGAGTCGGAAAGGATGACGAACTTGATGAACAAGTACAAAGCGACAGCTCTTGAAGAGTCTAAAGCAAAGGAGAGCCTGTCCAACAACGTCGATAAGTACACCTTCACACCACAGGACTTCAATTATGAAAACAAGCACTACAAGTACATCAAATACACCAAACACGAAAATAAACCAATGAAGGTTAATTTTTTAAATTATTTTTTTTAATTAAACGTTATTGTCGTTAAAATTAAACAGTGTAAATTAATATAAATGTATTTTGTTTGATGATGGGACATAATTACACACAAAGCACTGGTTCATTACTCAGATTTTTTGCATTTCTTTTGATTAAAGAATTGTATAATGCATACCAAAATTATGTTTACACATAATAAAAGAGGGAAGAAAAAAATATTCATAAATTTAGAGAAGACGAGAAAAGGGAACCGAAGTGGATTACTTTAAATGCGAACAATTTTAGAGAGAAATAAAGGAAAGGAAAGAAAAATTCTTACCTTTTCGAAAGGAGGAATAAGTTGAAGGTACCTGCGCTCTAATAACTTTACAAATCGTAGTTTTCCGATCCAGATTCTTTCAAACAGCTATGAAGCGAAGTACCGTCAAAATTTCAGGTGGATCACGGAAAAAGGGCAAAATTCTGGACGGTAAAAAAATTGAAATTTGCCAGTGCTTAGCGTTTATTTGTGCACAAACATTAAGAATGAAACTATACATTTTGTTATTTATCTTTTATTAAATTATTTTATTTATTCCTATACAAAACAAATATACGCTGAGCGAATACTATTGTTATGTACAAATCTGATAGATCTGTCAGACCAGCAGGCAGTGGGGAGAGAAACCGTCCAGTGCTCGAACTGTCTTTTATTTAATTGGGAGGTCAAGAGGCATCGTCGTTTTAAACGGCCTGGAGCATTGATTATAAGGGTGGGACGTCGAGGAAAGAGTTTGGACAGTGGATTAAGTTGGAGGGGGTAGTTTAGGGTGGAAATTGAGGAAGAGTGTTCGGAACAGATCCTTTACGTATTTGATTGGTGTCGTAGAAGGGGAGCGTTGAGGATACGCAAAAAAAAACAACTTTGGATTGAAAGGATTAGATTTGTTGAATTTTGGATAATTTGGACGAGCCTTACATTTCGTTTCTGTAAGTCCAAATTGTTCGGTTTGTAAGCGGTTAGTTTGTATTATTCTTAGTATTGATTTTGGTCCAAGTAGATGTCTTAGTAGTCAATAACTTTTGTTAAGTCCTTGTCATTTTAATCTTGTACATTCTGTTATCTAAGTAAAGCCCAAGACCAAGTCATATTAACTTGTTTGTGCACTGGTGGGCAGGTTGATTTTTTGATTGCGTTGATCTTTTTGATGATTTACTCCGCCACCGAGTTCACCAGTCGGTAATCAGGTTCAGATGTTCGATTGCTTCTGTGGCTAAGATAGGACTGGAAGGTGTAGATAAGATTGCGGTACGTATAGGTTGTTAGTCGTGGTTGTGTGTTTGAATGTGTAGGTCCGAATGTATGGTAAGAAGATTGGACCTAGGATAATTCCTTGTGGAACGCCAGTTTTGATTAACGTGTTGGGTGAAAAATCGGTGCCCATGCTCACTTTGAGACATCGATACGAGAGGATGAGGACTGAGCATGCTAGTCAGGTCACCACTGAACTGTCATTACTTTTTTTAGTGTCTGTATGTTAATGTCAATAGCAGAATTTTTACACATCTTGAGGTTTATCAAGTAAGTATAATTTTTGAATTTACAGACATATAGCGTTTTATTGGCCTAACAACCCTATAAAAACAACCGTATTGGCCCTCACAATAATAAAAATTGTCTGGCATGTACTAATTTAAGTTTATTGATGAAACCATTGAACAGAAATCAAGTTAATTATGTAGCTCCTAGGGTAGATAAAGCGTAAACATTCAATAAAGCGGTTAAACCTGTTATCCTTCACTTCTGCTCTTATGTTCATGACAACATGCTGGTGCAAATAGAGAAACAAAACCAAACAGATTACCAAACAACAATTGAAAAAAAACTTCGTAGGATATCCTTGGGCTCAAAATGAATATAACGATTGCAAAATTTTCCAAAATCATAAAGAGGAAAAAATGGCGAATGCATCCTTTATTTAAAGCCCCACGGGCATTACCTTCAAGTTCAGATAGAACTTCCCAGCCCATCTAGGTTAAAACTATTTGCAAAAGTAAAAATCTTTCAAAAACCTAATATAAAACCTTCAATGCAAAATAAAATCAATCAAAAAGCAAGAGTGCAAAAAGGACCTGGACTTTAGTATCGAGTAAATGTTGACAAAAGCATAAATAGATTACAAATCATACATGCTTTCACTGAATTGGAACCATATCTGCCAAAGAATCTAAATTGAGAAACTAAACACCTTGGAAATGTCGAGAAAATTCTCTCCCACAAGGAGCTGCCACGGTGTTGATAGGATTTGAACCCTTCTCTAGATTACTGATACTTTTTACAACTGAAGACCCGTTGAATGTAGCAGAAACCCTCAGTGATCACAGACGATGCAAAAGCATCTCTGAATTGGAAGTGACAGATCTTAGAAGGCATAAAAGAAAGCAGAAAATATCAATAACGGGTTTCTTCCCGCTTTAGAATTACCTGTCAAAACACCTAAGAAATATTCTTCTTCAAAAAAAATATCCTCCACCGTTAATCACTACCGTCATGCACAATAAATAATGTAAGTTGGAATTGAATTGGACAAAATGGACAGATTTTTGAGCGTGGTATTCTAACTTCAGACGCCTTTTTTAGGGTAGAAGGCAAAAGTTAAAAACAGCACCAGGACTATATAATTTGTCTCCTTCCTTACAAGCACAAATATGAATCTTGCACAGTACAGATCAACTACAAGTCTCCTTGCATAAGTTGGTAAAGAAGAAATAACAGACAACACGAACAGAACTAGAAGAAGCCAAGTAGTTCTGTGCTTCTCACCGAACACATAATGTTTTCAAAAATTCACCAAAACTCAAGCAAAAATCGGACCATGTGAACAAACAGCTGAAAAGGATGTGGTCCACACAAAATGGTCCTCTTTCGACACAATCGTGATGTTCATATCATGCAACGTTAGAACATAACGATTAGGATTCGAACATTTTGTGGAATAAGAATACAACTGCATACTGTGACCGTTCACCATACAGAAGAGGTCAACGTGAAGGTGAGTGAGTGATGGGAAACACTGGACTCAATCCATGAATCTCCTTGCTAGAAAAGAAAGACGCTACGGAATGCGACAGAAGCAGGAAGTGGTTTCCAATTCTTAACAGTTTTCTTGAAGATGGTAGGTTAAATGAGCATCTGAGAATGAGTGAAAGAAGCTACAAAAAGCATCAGAAGCAGAAAGAAGCTCCGAATCCCTAATAACATCTCTTGTAGCCTGTAGATTAAATGAGCATCTGAGCTTTAAAAGAAGCTGCAGAAGTGGGAAGAAGATCCGTATCCTTAACAGTTTTCTTTAGGCATGCAGATAAGCGTTTGAGAAAGATTGAAAGAAGTTACAGAAGCGGGAAGAAGCTCCACATACTTAGCAGGTTTCTTGGGGGATTGCACATTAAATGAGCATTTGAGAAACTATGAAAAAAGCTACAGAAGCAGGAAGAGGCGGCAATTCCGTAACAGTTCTCTTGACGCCTGTAGATTAAATAACCATCTGAGAATGATTGAAAGAAGCTACAGAAGAGGGAAGAAGCTCCATATCCTTAGCAGGTTTCTTGGGGGATTGCACATTAAATGAGCATCTGAGAAAGATTGAAAGAAACTACAGAAAGCGTCAGAAGCAGGAAGAGGCTCCGAATCCCTAACATTTCTCTTGACGCCTGTAGATTAAATAACCATCTGAGAATGATTTAAAGAAGCTACAGAAGCGGAAAGAAGATCCTTATCCTTAACAATATTCTTGAGGAACTGCAGATTAAATAACCATCTGAGAATAAATGAAAGAAGCTACGGAAAGCATCAAAAGTGGGAAGAGGCTCCATAACAGTTTTCTTGAAGCGTGTAGATTAAATAACCTTCTGAGAATAAATGAAAGAAACTACAGAAAGCGTCAGAAGCAGGAAGAGGCTCCGAATCCCTAACATTTCTCTTGACGCCTGTATATTAAATAACCATCTGAGAATGATTGAAAGAAGCTACAGAAGCGGGAAGAAGATACGTATCCTTAACAATATTCTTGCGGAACTGCAGATTAAATAACCATCTGAGAAAGATTGAAAGAAACTACAGAATGCGTCAGAAGTAGAAAGAAGCTCAGTATCCCTAACAGTTTTCTTGAACAATCTGAGAAAGCTTGAAAGAAGTTACAGAAATGGGAAGAAGATCCGTATCCTTAACAATTTTCTTGAGGAGCTGCACATTAAATAACCATCCGAGAAAGATTGAAAGAAGCTACAGAAGCGGGAAAAAATCTCGGATCCTTAACAGTTTCTTGGGGGATTGCACATTAAATGAGCATTTGAGAAAGTATGAAAGAAGCTACAGAAGTGGGAAGAAGATCGGTATCCATAACTATTTTCTTGAGCAACTGCAGATTAAATAACTGAGAATGATTGAAAGAAGCTGCAGAACGCGTCAAAAGCAGGAAGATACTCCGAATCTTTAACAGTTTTCTTGAAGCGTGTAGATTAAATGAGCATCTGAGAAAGATTGGAAGAAGCTACAAAAAGCATTAGAAGTAGGAAGAGGCTCAGTATCCCTAACAGTTTTCTTGAACAATCTGAGAAAGCTTGAAAGAAGCTGCAGAAGCGCGAAAAAGCTCGGAATCTTTAACAGGTTTCTTGGGGGATTTCACATTGAATGTGCATTTGAGAAAGTATGAAAGAAGCTACAGAAGCGGGAAGAAGATTCGTATCCTTAACTATTTTCTTGAGGAACTGCAGATTAAATAACTGAGAATGATTGAAAAAAGCTGCAGAACGCGTCAAAAGCAGGAAGATGCTCCGAATCTTTAACAGTTTTCTTGAGACGCGGCAGATTAAATGAGCATCTGAGAAAGAAATGCGTCAGATGAGGAAAGAGGCTCCGAATCCGAAGAGGCAAAGATTACCGTCAATCATCAATGTGATTGTAAATTTATCAAGGAGCAAAAGAAACTAGAAAACACGTACATAATGTAGTGCTACTGAATGTACAGAACTACTTAGGTACAGAGCAGGAGATACAATAGTTTTTAAAGCTAAGTACATTTATCCGCCGCCAAAATTATCCAAATTTTTTTGACCACTTATTTCTATACGGATTCCAATTTTTTCGTTCTGTAAACGGTTTATCATCCATAAACGTCATACAATTCGTGCTAATTGGTGTTCAAAATGCTCATGGTATCCCCTGAATCTACTTCAGGACACAAAGGTTTACTGTAAGTGCAGTACGCTAATATTCCACGGGGGGGGGAGATAATTTACGCATCTCAGAATATATCAATTTTGCATTTAAATTCAGTGTTGTTCAAAGCCGTTTGTTTAACTTTAACGATGTTTGTAAAATTAGAGACGCGTAATGACCCATGACGCGGATTAATAGAATAAAACTTTTGCGTTAATGGTGTTGCTTTTCGTCTTTTCATTTCCTGGCTTTTCGTCTGGTGCTTTCTCAACGTCGTAAGCATCCGAGATCCCTTCAGATTCGGCCTCTTGAATAAGTCGTCAAAGCGTGCTTTTTTCCCTTCCCCTTTACATCCTTTAATAGATGTCATTCCCATTAGACAAATCGATATTCAGATTCTGAGAAAACCCTTTATTAGCATTGTTCAAGGAAAGGTCACCTTTCTTTCCTGTTAATGAAAGCTCTATTCTCTCGAGAAGAGAGAAAAGACAACTTAGTCCAAACTTCAGCCTTACTGCCGATTTCCAAATGAGTTCAGCTTTCGATCTACAGTAAGAAACCCATTAAAAATACATACACTCGCCAAGCTAAATAATAAATAAATCGCAAGGGTGATGTTGGAAGGGTATGTTTTATGAGTGCAATTTTAACATCAAATCTGCATGTAGAAAAAAAAAACTTTAAAAAAAAACAGGAAGAAGGAAATGTAAATTAGACTTATCGTGAAAGGAAGGGATTGTTAAAACCCACCCCCAGGGGAATATCGAATACTCTGAGCGAGAGAATGTGACCAGATGATGATGGATACTAGGAAGTGAGGGATTTGCTCCTCAAGCATTGCAGCCGTGCTTATTGTACCTTCCTAGTTCCAAAATTCAATTTAAAAAATTATAACTGAAATTGAGAAACAAGTTGATGATGAATACTAGAAGAGGGGGGGTTTGTTTTTGTAACTGTTGTGATTGTTAACTGAGTACATTTATACAAAAAAAATCTAAATTTTCAATAGAAATAAAAGGTTGTAAAAATGTGTGTTATTATTTCGATAATGTGATGATGGATTTCTTTGTATGCATCGTCCGGACTTTATTCAAATAATAACAACAAATTTTTACCTTTTATTTCTATTGAAAATTTAGATTTTTTTTCTATAAATGGTGCTCAGTTAACAATCACAACAGTTACAAAAACAAATCTCACTTTTCCTAGTATACATCCGGACTTTATCCAAATAATAACAACCATTTGTTTGCAATCTTTTTTTCTATTTAAAATTTAGGTTTTTTTCAATAAATGGTACGCAGTTAACAATCACAACAGATACAAAAACAAATCTCCCTTTTCCTAGGATTCATCATCATTATCTCGTTTCTTTTTCTTCTCTCCATGGTCCATGGTTTGATCAACAATTTAATTCTCCGAATTTGTTCATTGTGGTCCAGTCATTATGCCATTCTTCACAACATAAAATTTTTACGTTATAAAAAAATTATTTAATTTTTTTCTAACAGTTATAATTGTTAACTGAGTACCATTTATAGAACAAATTTAAATTTTCAATAAAAAAATTTAAAAAAAGGTTGTAAAAATTTGTCATTATTTCAAAAGTGATGATGATGATGATGTATTTCTTAGTATCCATCATCAGGACTTTATCAAAATAATAACAACAAATTAATTCACCACTTTCGTGGTCCGCTTGACCAATTAATACATGAAAATTAATTTCATCTCAACTGAAAACCTTAATTAATAACAACATATGTTTACAACCTTTTTTTTTTTTTTTTTTTAATTTTTCTATTGAAAATTTAGATTTTTTTTCTATAAATGGTGCTCAGTTAACAATCACAACAGTTACAAAAACAAATCTCCCTTTTCCTAGTATTCATCCGGACTTTATCCAAATAATAACAACCATTTTTTTGCAATCTTTTTTTCTATTTAACATTTAGGTTTTTTTCTATAAATGGGTACCCAGTTAACAATCACAACAGATACAAAAACAAATCCCCCTTTTCCTAGTAGTCATCATCATCATCTTGCTTCTTTTTCTTTTATCCATTCTCACCATGGTCCAAGGTTTGACTGACAATTGATTTCTCTCAATTTGTTGGTCACTGTGGTCTAATCATTATGCCATTCTTCACAACATAAAATTTTTACGTTATAAAAAAATTACTTAATTTTTTTTGTAACTGTTATGATTGTTAGCTGAGTACCATTTATAGAATAAATTTAAATTTTCAATAGAAAAATTTAAAAAAGGCTGTAAAAATTTGTTGTTATTATTTCGATAAAGTGATGATGGTAGATTTCTTAGTATCCATCATCAGGACTTTATCGAAATAATAACAACAAATGTTTACAACCTTTCTTTTCTATTGAAAATTTAGATTTTTTCTATAAATGGTACTCAGTTAACAATCACAACAGTTACAAAAACAAATCCCCCTTTTCCTAATAGTCATCATCATCATCTTGCTTCTTTTTCTTTTATCCATTCTCTCCATGGTCCAAGGTTTGACTGACTGTTTGATTTCTCTCAATTTGTTGGTCACTGTGGTCCAGTCAGTATGCCTGTTCTTCACAACATAAAATTTTTACCTTATAAAAAAGTTAATACTTAATTTTTTGTTAACTGAGTAACATTTATAGAAAAAATTTAACTTTTCAATGGAAAAATAAAAAAAAAAACATGCAAACATATGTTGTTATTATTTCGATAAAGTGATCATGATGATGGATATTGCGAGCACCCAAGCACAGCAGCCTTCTAGCTTATAGGCTTTATTAGTTCCTAAGTTCAGTGCAGTCGATTCATTCCTTCTATGAAGTATTAGGATATTGACTGCCGTTGTTACAATTCCTCTCCCCGTTTTCTTTGTATTCTAGGTTATGTCTCTTCCTCATTGCAAACTCTACAAATAAGGTCATCATTGAATACGACCATATAGTGTAGATGTTTTCTCAGATGCCATTAACCTAGTTCTATCACTCCTCTGACTTTAGCACTTCCTAACTGTAGCAGTTAGTTTACTAGCCTTGGTTGTTTTAATGCCTATCACGTCTTGAATTTATCCATTTGTCCTATTGCCTTTTTCGTATCCATTCTGTGTTTGTTTTTGTTATCCCAAGGATCGGTTCAGGGCCTAAGGTCATGCAGACCTCCTCTGGCCTGTGTGCCTGCTGAATGTAACAGACTATGTTCATGTTAATTTATTTGGATGAATGTAATTTATTAGCATGAAAGGAAGGGCTAGTTTAATCTGGCCTCGAGGAATACTGAATACCCTTGGGCAATTGGACAAGTGTGTCTGGAGAATAAAAATAAGTTATTAGCACGAATGGAGTGGGTTCGACTCCACCCCGAGGAATATTGAGTACTCTGGGAGAGTGAATGTGACCAGATTTCTAGATTTCCGTAGGGTGGTGATACATATGTATTGCATGTTTTGCATTCTTTAATTGACATCCTGAGTTAAGATGAGAGCCTACCATTTTAAGATATTGACTTAGTTTTGATACAAATGTAGAGAGGCAGTAAAACATAAAGATGCTCAAATGGCTAAAGTTGTAAAATATGCATGAAAGAAGTAAAAACATGATGACCTCAACTGTTTGTAGATCTCTAAACTTCCCACATTATGTATGTAAAGTAAGAAACTATTTGGGAAAAAGTGAATTTTGTATTATTATTATTATTTATGTTTATACAACATAAACTTAATTTGTAAGGGTTGCAAACTACAAACTTCCGATTCAAATCTTCCCTCAAAGGTCCTTTCATATGTACATGCTTATTTCCATAATGGGTGAGTTGGCACCGATAAGTTACAAGCTTCCTCAATTTTGCAAATGGCCTCATTTAATTTGTTTCATTTAATTAGAGTAAACCTACTCCAGGGGGTGATTGCATTATTTACAAACATCGGGCTGAAAGGAAAAGTGCAATGTTTTCTTTTTTTCTGTTCCAGGCCGTCACCAATCCTCCCTATTATGAAGACAAAGAGAGAATGAGGGGAGACAACGATGTTATAGACAGGAAGCCGAATCTCAGAGCGAAATCCGAGTGCCCACCTCCTGCCCTACAAGCAATGGGAGACAGGCTTTTGGACTGGTTTTCTGTTATCATGGCAGACTCGAAACGAAGGCAAACTCACATAAGATCCAAAGGTAATTATTAATTGAACTACTGGACCTCTTTGTTCAAAAAGTCGTGCGTTGTGTTAGTGATGCATCCACGGAACCTCTTTTTCTTCCTCTGCCCATTTTCTCTTCCTTTCATTTCTATCATGTCCACTTTCTAGATTGACTTGCAAATTATACGTTTTACTTTGATAAACTTTAATTTTAAAAAATATAAAGATAATTAGAAATTCACTAAGGAAGTATCGTCGAATATTGCCATGTCCTAGTTACTAATGCAATGATATAAATACATTTTATGCTGTAAAAAAATTAAAATGTCCTAAAACTTTTATTTTAACAAGCAAAAACAAACAATAATACAATCAAACATGGAAAACAATTAATATTTTTAAATCAAGTGAATGACATAAAACCTTAAAAATGTTATTTGCACGCCAATGAAAGGAGATTCAAAATTAGACAATATTCAGAACTAAAAGTAGCTTTATGCCATTCACTCAGTTAGGGTGGTGGAGTACTCGATATGCCTGAGTCATCTTCAAATACATATCTAACCTAATTGAGGATGGGATACTCAATATTCATGCTAATAAATACATTCAGTCTCAGTATACACAATGAAACACAAAATGAGATATCTATAAAGTACTATATACAGAGAAACATTGTTTCTTCCAAAAATTGGTATAGAGGTCCCAAATGCTCGATGCCATGGTTAAGCACAATTCTCATATTGGGTGTCATTCCTACACGCTCTCTATATGGAGCCTAAACAATGAAACTTCCAGACCTTTCCCAATTGCCGCCGGAGTTCCCCAAGGTTCAATCCTAGGGCCATGCTTGTTCCTCCTTTTTATAAATCTACTCCCCTCACTGAGAAATTGCAAAATTGCGCTTTATGCGGATGACATTGCTGTCTGTTGTTCATCCTGGTGGCCTAAGGCAATTGTGAAAAGATTAAATGACAGCATCACCAGGATTTGCAGGTTTTGTCACCGCTGGAAACTCAGAATTAATGTCCCGAAAACTGAGGCCATATTTTTCACAAAACGATGCCCAATATTCAAGGAAACCATTTCCATTCACGGACACAAAATAGAATGGCGTGAGGGGGTAAAGTACTTGGGTTTAACTCTGGATCGAAAACTTAACTTCTCTCGGCATATAAACAATATAGTAACGAAAGGTAAAATAGCCATAAAAGCCTTATTTCCGCTGATGACCCGAGAGAGTGGAATGAGCTTTGAAAATAAACTAATTATATATAAAGTAGCTATTAAACCTATGCTGCTGTATGCTTGCCCAGCATGGAGTTACATGTGCGAATCGAACATCAAAAAACTGCAAGTGGTCCAAAATAAATTTCTAAGGTTTATAACCTCACTACCTCGATACACCAGAATTGGCCTCCTCCATGAGAAAGGGGAGTGGAGTATATTAATTCCGAATTAAAATGTCTGTCCAGGAATTTTTTTATGGGTCTCTCCTCCAGCAAGAACACTACTTGTAGGGATATAGAAGTGAATTTTGTTAACACATTTTTTTGTTAATTCATTTGTTAATTGTTATCCTATTTGATAACTAGTGGGTTTTTTAAGAAGATTTTTCCCACTATTTTCTTGTTTGGTTAATTAAAAATAATAACAAACTAGGACTAGGTGCGTTGATAGGAAAAAGCTTTGAAATAGGACGTAAAAGTGCCCCGCCACTTTCCCTGCTTAATGAATGTTATGTAACACAATGTATAAGATTACAATTAGTTAAGGTTTTTAGTTGAGATGAAAAAAAGCTAATGGCACGAGCGGGATTCGAACCCATGATCTTCGGCTAGATACGCCACTGCTCTACTACTTGAGCTCTTGTGACCTCGATCCACTCGGACATCAACTTACTATCTCAACCCCACCTTATGAGTTTTCCCCCCTTTTTGCCATTTTTCAATTGTTTTTCATCTCAACTAAAAACCTTAATTAATTGTAATGATTTAATTAGTCAAGCGGACCACGAAATTAGTGAATTTAAAGAATTAATATAAAGTACACTTCACTAAAGCTCTCCGAGGCCATTTCAATTGTCGTCGAGTTTCCAAATCGATTACACGACATTTGAAAAATGGCAAAAAGGAGGGAAAACTCATTAGGTGGGGTTGAGATAGGAAGTTGATGTCCGAGTGGATCGAGGTCACGAGAGCTCAAGTGGTAGAGCAGCAGCGTATCTAGCCGAAGATCGTGGGTTCGAATCCCGCTCGTACCATTAGCTTTTTTTCATCTCAACTAAAAACCTTAATTAATTGTAATGATTTAATTGGTCAAGCGGACCACGAAATTAGTGAATTTAAACAATGTATAAGTTTTTTTTAAAATAAATGTTTATTCATTCATTCTATATGGAGCCAAGCACTGTTCAATTAGTTGGCACACATCAAGTAATTTTTCTTTACATGCAGGACACAGGCCCAAAAGTAAATGTCCGGCATTGACACCCCGAGGGTTGATAGACCTCTGCTGTTGTGAACCCTCATTAAAAAAATAAAATAAATTAATTTTTAAAAAATTATCACTATATTAGCAAACTGGAATAATGATATGAATAAAGTTCAGTTTTCATATACTACATATAACTGACAATTTTGTTCGACCTATCCTCGCCAGTTTGGTCTACCATCATTCATGTGATTTCTGGCATTGGGAAGAATTAGGTCTTTTTTTTAATTTACCCAAGCTGTTTTTCTTATTCTTTTTATATTGTTTATTGGAGCTCAAGAAATGTTAGTTTATTTACTTGAACTGTCCCAGTTAATTAATTGATACAACCTTCATAAACATTTGCAAATGACAAGCATTCAGTGGTGAAACACCCCACGGGTGAAATATTATTTCAAACATTGAGGAGAAACATTGATCGATTGACATTGTAAGGTGAAATATTGATCGTCTTTTGTTTTGTTTGCTAAAACTCTTTCTGTCTTGTTTTATTTGTATTGTTTGTTCGGCCGTAATTAATAAAAGTTTAGAGGCAGACCTGTACAAAATGAAAAATATATTCTATTCAAACTCACAATAATTTCAAGCATTAGGGAGAGATATTGACCTTTTCTCACTCACACCAAAGCCACTTTTTTGCCAGTTTGGTAAACACCCTAAAGGTTCTGAACCAAAGTGATAAATAGAATAATTGTTCCTTTCCCACCTAATTGAAGGGTGCAGTTCCTTGGCTTCATACATAGAGTGCACAGAAATGCCACCCAATTTGAGAATTGTGCTTGAGAACAGCAGCGAATCTTTGGGTCCCTTTCTGATTCTAGTTGTGAATACCTAGTTTGTATTGAGAGTGAATGTATTTATTAGCAGGAATGTGTGATGTGAGAGGTACGATGGAATATCGAGTACCCAATGGGCCCTCAATTAGGTTAGATGTAGATGTAATTTTTCAGGGTATAGTATACTGCGCCCTTTAAGAGCTATTGTATCCCCCGTACTCTGCCTAAAGCACATCGGTGAGTCCTATTTCATCAAGAAACTTGATTAATAAGTTTTAAAGGTTTAGTGGTTGAAGTTCTTCTACGGTCACATTATACTTCCCAAAACACTTCCTCCTGCAGACAAGTGTAGCTCCGCAGTTTGTTAGTAGATTTGTTGGTGTATCTTCTGCCTCTTTGCAGAATCTGCATGTTTTGGATTATTCCAATCTTCTTTAAGTGTCCATTTAACATACGGTGTCCTGTCAGGAATCTATTAGGATTCGCAGTTTGTCCCTGCTTCCCTTGACACATTCTGCAATTTCTTTTCTTCCAAAATTGGTTAGGAGTTTGGATTGTCTGTGTCCAATGAGTGAATTCCATTGTTCCTTCATTTTCGTTTTGTCCTTCTATCTGAGATACTCATTAATAGTGTGTATTTCACAGAAGGGTTCAGGTCCTGTCAGCAGAGTAGCAGCTCCTTGCCTTGCAAGGGTGTCCGCTTTCTCATTGCTTTCTACTCCCATGTGTACTGGGATCCAGCAGAGACTGACTTTGTTCTGCGTACCTAATACGTTTAATTTGGTTTTACAGCTCAGCACCATCCTTGAACTAACGGTATTTGAGCTTAGTGCTTTGATGGCTGCTTGGCTATCTGACATGATAGCTATATTCTTATTTTTGTACCCTTTACTCAGGTCGAGTTGCGTGAATCTTATCTTGGAAGATACTGGTGTATTTTCCCATGTGTTCTGAATATTGATTCCAGGTCCAAATACTCCTGCCCCTGTACTTCTTGTGTTCTAGATCCGTCTGTATACCTAAGGATGGTGCCATTCTTAAAAGAGGTGTTTCCCTCTCGTTCCCATTCTTTTTGGTACCTAGATTTATTTGGAAGTTTTGATAAAATTCAAACATACTTCATCATGTTGTCTCTCAGAGCCATGAGTATCGGATGGTCTTTCCATAGTTTGTTGCTGTCTCTCCATTTTAGTTTTATTCTTGTTGGAGGTTTCTGTTTGATAATATTAATGATGGTTTTCTGCGCTGTCCTTATTACCATGTGCTGTACGATTAATCCCAGTATTTTTTTGATGTTAATTGTAGGACATGTTCTCATTGCTCCCGTCTCATTTAGGCTAGTTGTATAATATGTGTAAAGTCTTAAATTCACTAATTTCATGGTCCGCTTGACCAATTAATATGCTACAATTAATTAAGGTTTTTAGTTGAGATAAAAAAGTCAGTGGCACGAGCAGGATTCGAACCCATGATCTTCGGCTTGATATGCCACTGCTCTACCACTTAAGCTATCGTGACCTCGATCCACTTGGACACCAACTTCCCATCTCAACCGCACCTTTTTTTAATTTTCCCTTCTTTTTGCCATTTTTCAAATGTCGTGTAATCGGATTGGATTCTCGACGACAAATGAAATGGCGACGGAGAGCTTTAGTGAAGTATACTTCATTTCAAATCATTAAATTCACTAATTTTGTGGTCCGCTTGACCAATTAATATGTTACAATTAATTAAGGTTTTTAGTTGAGATAAAAAAGTCAATGGCACGAGCGGGATTCGAACCCACGATCTTCGGCTTGATATGCCGCTGCTCTACCACTTGAGCTATCGTGACCTCGATCCACTCGGACACCAACTTTCCATCTCAACTGCACCTTTTTTTAATTTTTCCTCCTTTTTGCCATTTTTCAAATGTCGTGGCAAAAAGGAGTAATTGTAATATGTGTAAAGGTTGTGTTGAGAGGGAATATATTTATTAGCATGAATGTGTGATGTGAGAGGGTCTGCAGGGGAATATCAAGTACTCCATCAACATTTTTGAATGAATAGTATGAAAATAGGTGTGAATGATTTAAGAATGAACGTGAGTATGAATGGGTTTGGAACTGCATGTATTGGGTGCTGAATTGATCTAGCTGTTACCAGCATCCTCCCCCCCCGGAGCCCAACCTTGGTTTGCTGCACGGATAAGACTGAGGTCTGCCCTCGGGGTGGGTGATTCTCAAGTCTGCTAGCAATTTACTATAAATTGCAAAAGCTGGAATTGCCGAAGGACTATGAGAAGTGTATAGGCTAAACTTGGCACATGTTTGTGTTGTATATACATGTACAGGTTTGAATCTATATAAATCCAAATATAATTTTTAAAAAAATTCAAGTTACCAAAGATGTTTTTATTGCTGTATTGTTATTTCATTAATTAAGAAGAATCAGACACCCTTTCTTAGTAATTGGGACTGACTATATGATCCAAGAAACATTACTTACCTTCTTATGAAGTCTCAACAGACTAAAAATGAGAGGACAAACTTGAACAGCTACTGATACAGTGATATGACTCTAAAATAAACTAAGGTACCAGATTGAGTGTGGTTTGTAAAATGCCCAAATATGAACAACCAAACTTATTAGACATTTCGGTCTTTCAAACAGAAATACATCCCATCAATACTTGTGCTCTAAAATCTTAAAAGAGGGTATACAAGCAAAAAAGTCACAACAAAACTATTCAGGGAATGCATCCAAAATCTCCAAAACCTGGGGAAACAGCTTGGGTGCCAGGGCACAAAGGAATTTTGGGTAATGAAAAAACAGACATACTAACCAGAGGAGGATCTGCATAGGCCCTGAACCTATACTTGGGATAGTAAAAACAAAGACAGAATCCTCCATCACCTAATGGATCCTTTAAAACACAAGTGGTTAAACTAGAAATAGTAAACTTATGCTAAAGCAACCCTCACCAAGACTGTCAAGCTCACTGCTGCAGTTTGAAAGGGCTAGAAGACTCAGAAGAGTGATAGGACTATTAACAGGTCTCTGTCAACTGAGGCAACATCTTCACAACATATACAACGATGAACCCATGTGCAGATTTTGTAACGAGGAGGAAGAATCAGCCACCCTTATCATCTTGGAATACGAAGCAACGGCTCAATGGAGATTTAACCTAACATACGGGAAAAAAAATTAGGGAATCAAATTGTAGCAGCAATAGTCAATTACCTAGTACTATTAAGAAGAGGGATCAAATTGACCGCACTGAATTAGGGAACTAGAATAAGCCAGCAGGCTGCAGTGCCTGGGGAGCACAAACCCCATATCCTATCCATCGTATCCATCATCATCATCACTTCCAATGATTATGCCAGTCTTCATTACTTCAAATTTTTACTTTATAAAAATTAATACTTTTTTTGTAACAGTAATTGTTAACTGAGTACCATTTATTTAAAAAAATCTAAATTTTCAATAGAAAAAAAAAGTTGTAAGCATTTGTTGTTATTATTTCAATAAAGTGACGATGATGATGATGATGGATTTCTTAGTATTCATCATTCACTATTCACTAGGAAAAGGGGGATTTGTTTCTGTAACTGTTGTGATTGTTAACTGAGTACCATTTATAGAAAAAATCTAAAATTTCAATAGAAAAGAAAGGTTGTAAACATTTGTTGTTATTATTTCGATAAAGTCCTGATGATGAATACTAAGAAATCTACCATCATCACTTTATCGAAATAATAACAACAAATTTTTACAGCCTTTTTTAAATTTTTCTATTGAAAATTTAAATTTATTCTATAAATGGTACTCAGCTAACAATCATAACAGTTACAAAAAAACTAAGTAATTTTTTTATAACGTAAAAATTTTATGTTGTGAAGAATGGCATAATGATTAGACCACAGTGACCAACAAATTGAGAGAAATCAAATTGTCAGTCAAACCTTGGACCATGGTGAGAATGGATAAAAGAAAAAGAAGCAAGATGATGATGATGAATACTAGGAAAAGGGGGATGTGTTTTTGTAACTGTTGTGATTGTTAAACTGAGTACGATTTATAGAAAAAAAACCTAAATGTTCAATTGAAAGAAAGGTTGTAAACATTTGTTGTTATTATTTTGTAAGAATCCTGATGATGGATACTAAGAAATCCATCACCATCATCATTACCACTTTCAAAATAATAACAACAAATTGTTGGTCAAATTAAGGACCCTGGAGAGAACGGACAGAAGAAAAAAGAATAATAATGACTCGATTTCAAATAGGCCACACCAGACCCACAAGTAACTGTGAGTCGTTCAATTAGAATGTAAACAATCAGCACTGCACAGGACAAGGATCCACGAGTCTCAAATCTGAAACACTTCACTGATTACAGTGAAACATTGATCCGATACCTAAAGTGGATAAATGTTTATGGTTGTATTTGCAGGAGACTTGGTTATCCCCCGAGTGAATGTATGTATTAGCTTGAGTGTTTTGAGTGTATATGGGTTTGTGGTGGAATATGAGTACCCAACAGTCCCTTTGAGGCCAAACTTTAATATCAAATACCTTGGTAATTCGCCAGTTCTTTCTAAAAAAATTTATATGAATGTATTTATTAGCACAAATACAGGTTGAACCTCATTGAAATATTGAGAACTCTGAGTACCACCAAACTTAGATTATGTATATACTAGCATGAATGTGTATGCTTTAATTGTGTTGTTTAAGCCTGTGGAAGGCATTATGAATGATAATAAACAGTTGAAATATATTTTACTGTAAATCATGGTCAAACTTGGCTTTATTTATTACTTTTCAAATTGTGAGGTAGTTTTTATTGCAGTGCTTGTTCAGTTTTTCTATCCCTTTTCTTTAAGATTTAAGACTTTGTCATATTTCCTGGTTTGTGATCTCTTAAAACTACCCAATTCACACTGAGTATTTTTTGTTTCATAAGGAATGTTTTTTGTTTGTAGGAGTAACAAGGTTCCCTTCAAGCTGCAAGAACGAAGTTCGTTGGATGTTCCACCATTTGGACACCGATTCAGACAACAAGCTGACCCTGCATGAACTGTACGACTTGGAGCACGACCAGAACGAGAGATGTATCAAGCCTTTCCTCGATGAATGCGATATTGACCGGTAATTATCAATTCGACACACTGAAGCTCAAAACATTAACACGGTTTTTCATATTCAGGGATATCTTTGTGACTCCTCATGAATGGTGCAAATGCTTCGACAAGACAGACAGGCCATGTGCAGCTGTGAAAAGGAGAATTTCAACAAACATGTTAGGTATGACGACTGCAAAAATAAAAATTTAAAAAAAATCATTTTTCTTGATATTCTTATTTGATTGCAGGTGTTTATGTACCAGATTGTGACCCTGATGGTTACTACTATCATACACAATGCCATGTGTCTGTTGGCATGTGCTGGTGTGTTGACAAACATGGAGTGGAACTGCCCAACTCCCGTACAAGAGGAAAACCCAATTGCGGTATGTAAAATATTCTTTTTCCTTTTAAATTTGATATTCTAATGAAGATAATTTCAGAATCCTTACTGGGAAAGAGCAAGGGGAAACTACAAGATGTCAGCGATGATGATGATGATGATGACGATGACGATGATGATTCAGATCAAGATATCGAAGGCAGTGCTGATCAACCTTTAGATTTTTAGAGTTTATATTATTAACCAGGTATATTTTACTGAAACAGCTCGGCTAATTGAAAGTTTTTTTTATTACTCCTACTTTATTTCAGGCCTATTGAAGGATCAAAACAAAAGTTTAATATAAGCTGTATGTGTGGTGAAATTGTCAGGCCTAGGACTGAGATTTGCAATGTCGCCTTGTGATTACAACAATGCACATAACTTTATTCCTCCAAATCAGCAGTGCTATACAACTCGACTTAAAAATAGTGTTTAGATGAGAAATCATGGTGTATTCTTCTTTTAATTAACATTTTTCTTAAGTAGCTCTTTTATAATGATGAAGTGTAGAGTTATGATTAAGTATTTATTACAATTCCATGTTTACCAAGCACACTATAATATATATAAGTATGAAACATTCTAGGGTAATATTGTTATATCTCGTCAGTGTGGTTTATAGACACCAAGGCTGGTGCCATCAGATTAAAAATAAATAAAAAATAAAAAAATGAGAGAAAGTATTTGGCATTTTGCTTTGTAGAATTAGCCAAAAAAAATTATTGTATAACATATAGGAAAGTACAGTTGTTCTTGTAAAATTAATATATAGCCCAACACTTACAAAACTTATGTGTTAAATGTGAAAAAAAAAGTAAGATAGGAGTAAACTCACCTTGCGGCTTTCCTCTCTACTTTTATTTTGATTAACAAAATGAACAAAATTTTGTCATTTTCAAATTGATCAAATGGCCATGATTATTTGAATACACGCAGTGTTTTGTGTTTTATTATACAACTACTGTTTCTCGCAAATGTGAGTACAAATGTGAATATATTTGTAAAATGATGGTTAGAGTAGTTAGAAAAGAAGCTAGTGATCTGTTCTCTAATACAAAACTATTCAACTGGGAAATTTCACATTCCATCCATTTAAAAGCATTCCATAGAACAAATACAAAATATCGGCATGGAAAAACGAAGCTACTTACAATCAATATTAAGCATGGAGTATTCTCAATTAAAGTAAAAATTGTGATTTATTTATAATAATTTAAACAATATTGAGTTTATAAAATATATGTATAAAATTGTATGTATTTTTTTATGTTTTGAAAAAGTTTGAATCATAAAAGAAACTATGTTATGTGCACTTTTAAACCGTCCGATCAATTTTTAGTTTTATTTATGTTGTATTTACCATTATGTTGTTCAGTTGTTATGGAGATTTTCCAAAATTTATTTTTATCTAAATTATTACACTTTCTCGTTATATAATGAGAAGACTTTTTGTTGTCAATTTTTTATTTTCAGAAGGCTTTCTGTTTATACAAATCAGAGGAAATGAATTATATATACCACTATATAATCGTCATAACAATAAAATACTGCACAGAGCTTCGAAATTATGTATGGCATCACAGAGCCCAATAAAGCGTAATGAAATTTTATTTATAAATAAATATTATTTATTTTTTTTTTAGTTAATGGAATCAGTTTTTGATGGTTACATTAGGTACTTACAATTTACCAGTGTTAGCAATACTGATTATTGTTTATAGAAATGTATCTGTGTTAATTCATAATAGGTGTATGGTGTTTATTAGATAATTATCATTAGGTAATTTTTAAAAAAAGGTAATGTATGTGTAAATATATAACTGCTCATAACTTCATACACAGTAAGAACTGTTTTCTCCTTTTTAAATATATTGGATGAAAAGTAATAAAAGTGAAATAGTTAAAAACTCTGTACACTTTAATTAAACTTTACGTTTCAAAAACCAATTTTCTAGCTTTTTTTATATCACTGATGTTCAGGTATTTAACAAGAAGTTTCATTGTTATGTGCTTTTAAATGTTTAGGATGTGTTTTTAAAAGTATTACTAAATAAGATTTAGATATAGCAGGTAATTTTCAAAATAACATTTTAGTTGAAATGACTAAAGTTGAAAAAACAAAACAAAAAAGTGTGGAACTGGGCTGATATCCCAAAACACGAAAAGTTATTTTGTCACTTGTGTATCTGCTCTTAATAATAAAACCCACCCAAATAAAATTTTCAGTTAATACTTCCTTTACAATCAATTATTTACACCACAAAATCCATAAAGATTATTTTAAATAGTTTAATTTGGTTTTACAGCTTAAAAACCTGCACATTTTATATGAAAAATGCTTCATGCTGAATTATTTATTAATTATAAGTTAGTATAAACAAAAAGAACCAGATAGGAATGTTTAAGGTTAAAACAAGTCGACCTCTTTATAACTTCAGCACCGCAACTAATATTTGTCTATTTTGCAATCACTACGATTATCTAGAGTTTCTCTAAGCTTTTTATCAAATGTGCTTTGGGAAGCTTTGTTAAGAACTGTGTGAATCTGTCAGGCTTTTCTCCTCTTAGGATTCCTTCACACCAGCATACATGTTCCACTGTTTCTTTTTCTTCCTTGCAATATCTACACAAGCTTTTGCTGCTCTGAGCATAAATATTCCTCCAGAGTCTGCATTATTATTCTAGTCCTAGCACATCCTAGATTTAGTATGTTCTTCAGTCGTCCTTTGATGAGCTTTTTCCCATGTCTCTGTCCTGAACTGCAATACCGTTTAACTGAGGATTAATCCATTGTCTGATGCGTCGGCCTTTTTGGGAGTTTGGTAGAGCACGATATGGTTCTGGGCCAATCATAGTATGATCGAACTTATTTGTTTCTGCCTCTGAGAGTATACATACCTCCAGAATCTGCAGTCTTCAGTGAGCAATCCCACTAGTCTTAGCACATCCTAGATTTAGTAGTTCCACCATGATTTTCTTCGATCGTCTGATGAGCTTTTTCCCATGTCTCTGTCCTGAACTGCAATACCGTTTAACTGAGGATTAATCCATTGTCTGATGCGTCGGCCTTTTTGGGAGTTTGGTAGAGCACAATAGAGTTCTGGGCCAATCGTAGTATGATCGAACTTACTTGTTTCTGCCTCTGAGAGTTTATACATACCTCCAGAATCTGCAGTCTCCAGTCAGCAATCCCACTAGTCAGCATGTCCGAGATATAGTAGTTCTGCCATTATTTTCTTCAATGGTCCTTTGATGAGCTTTTTCGCATGCCTCTGTTCTGGACTACAATTCCATTAAACTGAGGACTTATCTTATTCCCTTAACCTATTCCCAGATGGATATACACTTTTGACAGTTTGGCAAGAAATAAAAGGTTCTGGGCCAATCGAGTACTTATTGAACTTACTTGTTTCTGCTCTTCTGGGTCTATACATATCCTCCAGAGTTATCTCCTTGTATCTTATCATATGTAAGATATATCTTACATAATATATCCTTAGATCTTATACCTCCATGGTCATTCAGCAACCCCAATATTATTCTAGTCCTAGCACATCCAAGATTTAGCAGTAGCATGCCAGTCCTAGATTAAAATTCCATTGAAACGAGGACATTTAGTCCATTATCTAATGAATAAATAGTTTTGACAGTGCACCACAAAAGGGTTTAGGCCAGTATGTGCACTCATCAAAATTGGATCAATTCGGCTTTGTTTTTCCTTGGCTCAGTTTGTCCTCATACCCAGATAATGGTGATTTTGTTGATTTCCCAATGACCGGTAATCCCTAATGACTCTGGACTTTACCTCTGATGTGGAAATAACCCAAAGTGCCACCTGGATTTCCTAGTAGCTTCTGTTAACATACCTAACATTTTAATCTTTTTGGCACAGTTTTTACCCACAGTCTAGACAGGATGGAGTCATCTGTATATCAGATATAGTCAGCATTAATTGGGATTCCCTTTCTTCGTCTACTCTACCATGTACTTTTTGTCCAATCTGAATTCCTCGAAGTCTTATCTGCCTCCTCCCAAAGCTTTAGTTGCTTGTTATGCGAGTAGGCTTCGTTATCTATCTGTAGTGTATGAATTGTGGCTCTGGCGGCCTCTTCCTGGTTAGATGTCATAGATTCAGGACTTCCTGGGCAGCAATGGAGGTTGTTCTCATTGACAGTGATGCTGTAATATCTTTGTCCACCAATCCATAGACTATGGGTCTAACAACTGCTGTGTATTGTATTTATGTAAGGGTCTTTGGGTTTAGTCTCAACTTTTCCCACATAGGTTTTTAGGCATGTGACTCCAGAAAAGTGTGAGTTAGCAGTTGTATCCTTTTGAGTTTTTTCTCATGTCTTCGTCCTGGACTAGAATTCCATTTAACCTAAGACATTTATTATCTGGTAGATACACGTTTGTGGTAATTTTGTATGCAAAAGGGTTTGGGTCGATAGTTGTCTTTATTGAATTTCCCTCGGCCAATTCATCAGTCTCCTCGTATGCCCTTACACCCAAACAACTAATTTTGTTGTTCTCCATTTTTGGCAAGGCCTTGCAATCCCAAAAGCTCTGAACTTACTAATCTGTAGGTAGTTACCGTTATTGCCGCCTGGATGTCTGAGTAGATGGCTATTTTGTTGTTCATAATACCCTGCCTTTTAATCTTCTTGAATGTTTGATGTACTAGATACACAATAAATCAATATTTTTCATTTGTGGAGATAAAAATGATTCAGATATATATATTTTTTAATGTTTAACTAATAATATATATTTGCTGAGATTAATTTTAAAAAATTGACAACTTAAAATATAAATATCACATTTAATAAAAATTAATTATCTTACATGCACGTAAACACAAGCGAATAAAAGTGGTACATAGTTATGTTCAATTCACTTTTTATTTAATTTCTCCAGAAGTTCACAAGCTTCTTTGCTCGCCTGAAAAAGGTAAAGAAATTGTTTTTATTTTAACATAGACATACTAAACAGAGAAAATGGTGAAATCAAAATACCAATAAGTCATCATCGTTTGAAATCGGGTAATCGCATGCAAGGTTCAAATAGTATCTTGCATTGTCTTCTTTGTTGAGTTTCAAATACGTTTTTCCTAGCATCAAGAGATTTTGGCTGAAAAAAAATAAATAAAATAAAAAATAAAATAAAGTTAAAGGAAAAATTGATGATTTGATTTACCTGTAAAATCTTGGTTCAACTTCTTCAGCTTTTGAAAAATATATAAGTGCTTCTTCGTACGAAGAGACTGGGGGTGCTGTGAAAATAGTAGATGCAACTTTCCTTTGATACCATGGCATATCTGTTATTTGATAGCACCTAAAGATAATTTTTTACATTATAAAAATTATTTCAAATAAAACAACAAATATTCAAATTTAAAAAAATTACCACAAGCCAAGCATGTAAAGTGTGGTAGCATCATTTGGATTTAATTCACTAGCTTTCTGTAATAGAAAAATTTGCATTTAAAAAAAATTATAATTAATACAGAAAAGTAGATTTTTTTTTATATTTACAGTAGAACATACCAACATGTGCTCTTTGACAGTCTGCAGATGCGTAATTCTGGTCTTTATGCCTTCGTAAGTACTCTTGGCATCGAGCAAAATTGACATCCATTTGTGATTAGCGAAATGGTCTTTGTCTAGGGCCAGTGACTTTGAAATAACTTCATACGCCGCAAAAATGAGCGACTTCTTCTCTTCCGGACTTGTCGCAATCTCTTGGGAAAGATTGTATTGCGCTCTCGACAGCCTCCAAAGAATTTCAACATCGTTTCCATCCTACACGGCAATTATTTAAGACATAAAAATGGCCCCGTTGAGATTTTGGACATAATCACCTTGTAATCACCTAGCAGAGTGCAAATTTCTCTGTATTTGCTCTCCTTGTACAACGCATCAGCAGTCGATAATAAAGTTTTTCTTAAAGCATCCTCTTTATTCGCTTCTTTTGAGGAACGGAACCATGATAGGGAAATCAAAAATGCTCCAGTTTTGTATTTCTAAAAAATACAAAATGTGAGTATCAAAATTTACTTAATTATACAAGTACATAATAAATACACCCATTTTTAATAAAAAATTTGAGATTTTATTTTTTGTTCCATTTAAAATTAAGTTTTGCTTTAATTCAACGCATTATACGAATTGGTGATAACAGGTGAACTCATGACCCTAGATGGCTTTATGAATGAAATAAATTGTAGTAATAAATAGTTTCTTTAGCGGTTTGTTTGTCATAAAAATTTTTCCTCATGATAAGAAAAAGATTATCAACCCAAGCAATAATAAAAGTTTCAAAATTGTGAGAAAGATGTATTTTTCAAAAAAGTTAATGTAAAGATTGCCAAAAATATTCATTGTATCAAATTTTATGCCGAGAAATGTCACCTCCTCGCCAAGAGGTTCACCCTTCATGCTGAGCCAAGGATGATCGTGGGGTGGGGTCTCCTCAGCCAGCAAAAATGGACTGCTCTCGTTTTAACCACAGAGAAGGAGAAACCTATTTCTCATCATTTGTAACCATTTTGTCAATTGTGGTCTGTACTCTTCTGTCTACCTCCTCTAGGTTTAAATGGCGGCATCAACATTAAGCATTACCTATTAGATTTTTGAACCATTTAAAGATGCCATTTACTATGGTCGATAAAAGCCTTGTAAAAAAGGTCACAATATTGCACTTAAATATAAACGAATTGTTAGGAAATAATAATAATCTGATAAGTTTTTCAACAAAATGTTGATCAACAAAGTTTAGTGTACTGGAAAAGTACACTTTTCTTCTTGGCTAAATGAAAAGTTTTAAATTAAATTAACAATGTGAAAAATATAAATCAAAGAAGCCAGGTTTAGGGAAATGGTGAGAATATGATTATTATAAGATAAGAAGTTAAGCCAATTTTCATTAACAATTGGACAAATTCCAAAATTGTGACAATTTATTTTGTTTATTCTATAAAATAAACTTTTATTCCAAAATAGCATAAAAGTAGTAAAGTAGTTAAAGAAAAGCCATGGGCTATGCCGGGTTTCAAACCCGGACCTATAGTGTGGCAAATATGAGATGCTTGCCTTAACCTCTCAACCACTGCAGACCCGTGAAATTTGTACTTATTAAATAATTCCTGTCATACAAGTCGGTTTATTGCACAACTACCTATTGGGGGTCGCGGAAGAGGGGTCCAACCACTTTACAATACATTTTTCATGAAAATCAATGGGGTCTTATTTTTCCAAAGAAATTTATTTTAAAACTTGGTTTCGTTAAGAATAAAAATTTACTTTGTAATAGCAAACTTAATAAATTGTTACAATTTTGGTATTTGTCCAAGTGTTGGAGTAATATTAACTGACGACCTTATCTGATAATCGTGTACTCCAACTTCTTTTAGATTTGGCTTCAAATCTTCATTAGATTTGGGTTATTTTCTCGGAAGAAATTTATTTTAAACTTGTTTTTGTTAAGAATAAAAATTTATTTTGTAATAACAAACATAATAAATCGTCACAATTTTGGTATTTGTCCAATTGTTGGGGTAATATTAACTGATGAGCTCATCTTATGATCGTGTTCTCCAATTTCTTTTAGATTTGGCTTCATCTTTGGGTTGGATTATTTTCACGGAAGAAATTTATTTTAAACTTGTTTTTGTTAAGAATAAAAATTTAGTTTGTAATAACAAACATAAATTGTTATGATTTGGTATTTGTCCAATTGTTAGACTAATATTAACTGATACAAACCATGAAACATTGGTACGATAAAGAAAATGTTTTTTTGAAACCTACATCACACCAAACTGCAACTCACGATTTCTGAATAATCATTAACTGATGAGTTTATCGTGTTCTCTCATTTCTTTCAGATTTGGCTTCATCTTTGTGTTGGATTTTTTTCACCAAGTAACTTTAATTTACTGGGGTCTTTTACACCTTTTGGGATTGGTATTACAATGGCCTCTTTCCACTGATCTCATTATACATCAAGGATGTGACTTTTCTGATCCCGGCGATTTGTCAGTATCAGTAACTATAATAGGCCAGTTATAATATCTTATGTCGCTGGTGATGTCTGTATTATTCCATTCTGCCTTTCTCCTGAAGGAATCTTTCTGAATATGACCGATCGCTCAAGACAAGTGTGCAAGGGTATCAGCAATTTCTTTTGGTTCATTGATTATAAAATTGTTTTCAAATTATATCGGTGTTGGCGTTTATTCTTCCCCTTGATCACTCGATCCTGTGCCATACCTGTGTCAAGGGCATCTCCCTGTTAAGCCCTAAAACATACTCTTGCACGCTTTTATTTTTGGTTTGGATCAATATCCTTGCTCTTTTCATTCCGACATTATCTAAGTTGACCGACTTGAGGTTTTTATTCTAGTTTTTATTCATTCTTATTTCCCGGTTATTCAGACCAGTGTTCTTGCTGTTTTTTGGGTATCTGATAAACTCATTAACATTACCCTAATAATTAAAAGTTAGGCACTAAGATAGAGATTTTTTTGCCTTTGTAAAATAAACTTTTATTTTTTATTAAATTGACACGGTGGAAAAAAAATCCATCCAAAGATTGAAGTGAGATATGAAATAATAATAAAAACAAGATTACCACTTCAGTCAATATTGCCCAAAATATTTGACCAAGATTGTTACACTTTATTTTATTTGTTATTATTCTTGACAAGAATATAAATTTTAAGTTAAAATTATAAATGATTACCAGTCAAGAGCTTCCTAATTATACATTTATGCTAACTAAAGCATAAACTGTGATTGTTTATTTTGTCAATGATTAAGCATAGAAACAACTTTAATCAGTTACAAAAGTGTTCATAAATGGAAAAAAAGTTGTTTATGCTTTTTAAATGTAATTACTAATTATTTTTATAATACATATGGAAAGTATTTATGATTTTAATTATTAAATAGTAAAGGAATAAGTGTTTGTGAATTTATAAATATATTGAAAGGCTAAAAACTAGAGGATAAAATGTGATAAACAGAAAGTAAACAATTTAAAAAACAGCTTAAAAATAGACACTGCGTGGTCTATAGATACAATCTATTTCTAAATTGTCTGAATTTATATTTTTTAATTGTACAATAAATGTGAATTTTCAAGTGAAACACTTACGTCCAAGCTGAAAAGCAGTCTGTGCGGTAAAGCCACCAGGTTTTTGGCCCTCGTCGGCCTGAAAAAGGCGTATTTCGCAAATGAAGAGACGGTTCGCCTAAAAAACTGCATCTTGTTTACAAACGGCAAGGTCGTCCATTGATAAGAGCGAAGCGGCCTGGGACCTGGCGACCGGAAGCTGACAACACGAAGCCAGCTGAATCCCGCCAACGCTCCTCTCCAAAGATGCCGATACGAAAGAGGCCGGCTGTCAGATGACGAACACAAACCGTCCAATCACAGGATTATCAATTAATCTCCTGCTTTGACCAAATTAATTGTCATAATGGTTTAAAAACTCATAAATACTATGTTTTTCTCAGAAATAAACCCTAACATGCATAAAATACATTTAAAAAAACAAAACCCAGAAACAACAAAAATGTCTTCTGTTAGAGAGTTTCTTTTCATTACATCTTGTACTAATTATTTGAAAATAGGTTAAACTAAACCAATAAAAAAAATTAAAATGTAAAAGCTTGTAGGACAAAAAGTAAAAATTTATACAGTATTCAAAATATATTTTCTACTTTTTTAAAACATTAAATCAGTTAACAATTAAAGTATAAAGTTATTTTACAAGAACGTATGTCATGGAGACAAAAATATATAAATATATAAGGACAGATAAGGCAAATTTGTCATGGAAATTAAAAAAAAACATCACAATTTTAATTTAGATTTTATGCCAATAAGCTAATAAAGTAAAAAAGTAATTTTTAAAGAAAATAATTTTGGTCATTAGAGACAAAATATCAACCAATTTAAATTTCTATTTTTTATCGCAAAAAAAGTAATTTTTAAAGAAAGTAATTTTGGTCATTGAAGACAAAATATCATCCAATTTAGAGTTCTATTTTTTATCCCAAATCAAAGTAATTTTTAAAGAAAGTGATTTTGGTCATTGGAGACAAAATATCATCCAATTTAGTTCTATTTTTTTAATCCCAAATAAAAGTATTTTTAAAGAAAGTGATTTTGGTCATTGGAGACAAAATATCATCCAATTTAGATTTCTATTTTTATCCCAAACCAGAATAATTTTTAAAGATAGTAATTTTGGTCATTGGAGACAAAATATCATCCAATTTAGATTTCTATTTTTTATCCCAAATCAATTGACTACTAATGAAGAACGTTACTTTCTGTGCAAATTTGTCATGGAAACTAAAAAAATCAAAATTCCAATTTACATTTCATGTTTGTAATGTCAATTAACAACAAAAATATAAATTAATTTTACATGCAAATTTGTCATTAAATTTTTTAAATAAATCTCAATTTAGATTTTATATCAATTAGCTAATAAAGTAAAAAGTATTTTTAAAGAAAGCAATTTTAGTCATGTGGACAAAAATATCAAAACTACAATTTAGTTATCCATTTTTTACCCCAAATCAATTGACAACTAATGAAGATTAGATTTCATTTTGTACTCTCAATTACAACAAAAATATAAATTATTTTTACGACACAAATTAATGCAAATTTGCCATGGAGACAAAAGAAAATCAAAATTCCAATTTAAATTTTACTTGTTTAATATCAATTAACTACTAAAATAAAAATTAATTTTACAAGCAAAATTGTCATGGAAACTAAAGTATCAAAATTCCAACTTTTTTTAAAAATTTATTTTTGGCATCAGCTGGTTGTCAGAGCCACTTTCATCATATAATAATGTACAATGTGTTCAAAATAACAAATAGAAACAACAATAACAAAAACTTTAATTAATGCAATAATTACAACTATTATTTAGTTTTGTTTAATTTAGTTTACTATAACCTTTTTTTTAATATAATCATAATCTTTTGTTTATATTATTCAACAAGTTTTCTATTACAGAGATCACCTGCTAGAACGGGAGCTTATATTTGAGTATCCTACCATATTTCCCATTGTTTTTAAGAGCACTCAGCATCTTCCTAAGTTTCTCTTCAATGATGGACAAATCATGATTATATGTTCCAATGTACCTGATTTATCTTTTTAAGTAATATTTGCATACATCATGATTGGATCTAAGCCTTACCATTATACTGCACATCGCTTTTTTAAGAGTGATCGTTGAAAACCAGGGTGTTGTCGAAATGGCAGGAAACATTTTTTATATAGCAGCCCTTTACTCACTGTATTGAGTCTGTCAACTATTCATGCCTCTTGCCTTGGCCATTGGATTATAGTCATGGTATCTCTGGTATCGTGTCTAAAAAACTTAGATATCAATTTACTACTGAATTAGAACATAATTTTACAAGTAAATTGGCTCTTATCAATTAAAAGTAAAGGAGCAAATTTCCCTTGAAAATTTGTCATGTAAACAGAAATTTTAAATTTAATTTAGTCAAAGCTCAAGAGGTTCTTGGGTATTAGAGGTAGCTTAGGTAGGATTTGAGTTAGAGGACAGAATTGCTGTATCATTCACATAGGTTGATGGTATTGGGGTGTACAAGTAAGTCAGCAGTATAAATGATATAAATTATGGGACCTAGAATGCTCCCTTGTGGGATGCCTGTATCTGATTTCTGAGTTAGGTAAGAGACTGATTAAAATTAAAAAAAAAATTTTTTTTTAGTTCAAATGTTAAACTACCTTCAACCTATTAAAACATAATATAATAATGATATGCTATTTATTCGTAGAAGCTAAAGAAAATTTAAAAACCTTTTTGAAAGATTAACACTTTTTAACCAAATCGTTTAATTTTACAACCCCACCTCCTAAAAATTTGAATAAAAATGAATAGCAAGGTCACTTGTTAAATAAAATCAAAATTTTGCTATTTATAATTGTTGCATATTCGAGTGGAGTAATAGATTTTTTTTTGTTTTTCATTTTTTTTTTTTTTTACAATCCAAATCTTTAAAAATTTGCGCTCATGAACGAGTTAGAATGGAAGAACTTAAAGAATAAAATTAATCATGAATAAAATTAATTAATAAGGGTGAGAAAATAAATTTCGCCTTGTAAATATGCGGCGTTGTCGGATTATAAATTCAAATATATTAAAAATCGAAAAAAAAATTGTTGAAAGTGAAATTGTTCAAGTTCAAAAGTAACACGTTTCAAGGTGAAGCCGAGCCACGGGCGTCCTTCTAACAGATGATAACAATCAGCTGAAAGCCTTGGTACGCCGTTCGGTTCTGTTTTGGTCGAAAAGTCATCTTTGCACTGACAGACGGACTCGTCTTCCCCGTTTCTTTTAATTTGGAATTTATTTTTATGTTCCGCCTTCTTCCCCTCGGCCCTTGCCATCATCTGAAATGCTCTCCGTCATCTTTGTACTCGGCATCGGTTAAACACGGGAGTAAACAGACTGACATTCGATTTTAACAACCTTTGTAAACATGTAAAAACCAAGGTCAGTATTTTTACAATACAAATACTCGCATTCAATTTTTTTAAAAAAATTTATGCATGTTGATTTATTATATCTGAACGGTTTATTAAATAAATATTTTATTTGGCTTGGTTTAATTTATTTGGAGTATTTAAATGGAGGGGAGATGAGTTGGGATCTAGGTATGGCGTTGTTTTATAAATAACTCGTCTTGGAATTTATATTTCCTTAATGCATACCCATTTTAAAAATAAAAATGTTTTTATTTAACTTTGTTTTTAAATAAACAAAATGCTGTAAATATTTTTCCTTTGTAACTGAAAAAATGATAAACGTTGTGCCCTGCGGTGAAGCATTAAGTAGCATGTTCAAAGTTAAGAGATAATTAAATAAAAATACAAACTGTTTTGTTTTTATTTATTTAAAAGGATGATCTTATGTTAAGCTGTGATAGCAGTTATTTAGAGTTTTATTTTTTTGTTCTGATGCTCTCTCTGCCATCTGCACCCTTAAAAACCTCTTCGCGACTAATCCCAGAGTCCATGATATTCTTCTTATGATATCAAACAAATTTAAAAATCAGTCTGTGCAGTACTTGTGGATTCTGGGTCATAGTGGCATAATCGGGAATGAAAAAGCTGACCGCACAGTAAAGAAAGCTATAACAGAAGGACATAAGAGACATGAAGGAAGATTTCAATTCATTTATTAAAAAAGTTATGGTCACAATGGGAAATCGAGTGGCAGAGAGTGAGGAATAACAAACTTTGGGAAATTAAGGGGTCAAATAGTGGTACATCTTTACAATACAATTTTTACAATACAAATTCTTGCATTCAATGTTTTTTTTTTTTAAATTTATGCATGTTGATTTATTATATCTGAACGGTTTATTAAATAAATATTTTTTTTGGCTTGGTTTAATTTATTTGGAGTATTTAAATGGAGGGGAGATGAGTTGGGATCTAGGTATGGCGTTGTTTTGTAAATAACTCGTCTTGGAATTTATATTTCCTTAATGCATACCATTTAAAAAAAATGTTTTTATTTAACTTTTAAATAAACAAAATGCTGTAAATATTTTTCCTTTGTAACTGAAAAAATGATAAACGTTGTGCCCTGCGGTGAGGCATTAAGTAGCATGTTCAAAGTTAAGAGATAATTAAATAAAAATACAAACTGTACCCAAGAAAGAAGAAACAACTTTGGCTAGATTGAGGGTACTGTCAATTGACGCATGGTCATTTGATGTCCCGGGAGTCTGCTTCAGTGTGTCCAGATTGCGGAAAAATAATCACTGTTATATATGTTTAATAACATGCAAAAAATACACAGACATAAGAAATACGTTCAAACTCGCAAATAATCTAAAAACAAAACTAGGTGACAATTTTAGTAACATCAAGAAACTATTTGGCTTCCTCTATGAACCCTGCCTATTAAATGTAATTTTTCATGTTAAAATGTTTCACATACTAACAACTACTAATACTAACTTGGCTAACAACATACTTTCAAGGCAGTCATGACCCTTGGTGGTTTTTTACCTTTAAGAAAAAAAAAAAGTTTTATTTTTATTTAGCTTAGAAAATATTACTTTATCAATGGGATTTTTTTTTACTTACACACTTGCACAATGCCCATGGAGAACTCATAGCATGAGAAATCAGCAATGCTGGCTCTCATGAGGGATTAAAGGGAAATATCTTGAGGCCATTGTCGTTTAAGGCTAGGTGGTGGGTTTTCACAAAAGTATTCTGTAGAGATGCTTCGAGCAGTTTGGTTAGAATGATCAAGACGTTGGTGCGAAACTTTTGGAATCGGGAACGGTTTGTTGACAAAATGAATATCGAGGTCATTGTGGACTAGTGAGATTAGTGATGTAGTAAGGAGTTTTGGCAATTTGTATGAATTAGAATTAGGCCTGGTTTGCCCGGAGGTGATCGGTATAAGAGAGGCATATGCGATTCCAGTATGAGATACAAAAAGTATCCAGGCGACTTTCCTGATGACTAGATTCAGTTGCCTCCTTTCCATCACTTCTTGATCCTTTATTAAAGACCTAGATGTTTGATTCTGTTATATTTTTATAATGGACGAGTTAAAAGCTGTAGCTCTTTGGCATTTAATTAGCCGAAAAACAAGTAAAAGTAGAGTTATGTGGGTTCACCATCATAAAGTCACTGTTGTTTCAAAGCGTGGGATATGTTGAACTGATGAAATTCATTTGTCGTTATCAAAAATATCACTTCTATCCATTTTTTAAAAGTTTCAAAGAAGGCGTGTGAAAACAAGAGTTGGATGGAGCGATCTGCTTGATATAGTATGAAATGTGTGCCATGCTGCACAGTATCCTGTCAGTTGCCTTTAAACAGAAAACGTACCAAGCGACTAAACATCGACTTAAAATCGGTATCTGCCAGTCTTCCCGTCTGAATGACTGTATCTGTCTCTTACATCGGCCTCCTTGATACTGATCTCTCATACTGATTGCCTCAGGGTGAACTGGGCCTTATGTAAGTGGCTACTATTAGATAAAGGTTGGATAACTTGATTGGAGCAAGAGGAAAGTCTACTGCGGAAAGAGAAAAATGTTTTGGAGATTTTTTTGCTCAAAAGGAATTATGAGGTTGTTGTGAAAGGACATGTTGGAGGCATAGTAAGGAGGATTGACTTTGGTTCTGAGGACTTTGGATTGAGAGGTTTAGGATTGCCCAACAGTTCTGGTCCATACATCCATATTGATTTTAGGATTGTTTTGTTTTTTGTTGAAACATAAGATGTGTATGCCAGTCTGTGTAGTATTTTAAAACATTTGTTTAATTCCTGTCGGTTTAGTTGTATGTATTGGTTGGTTCCAGGTTAATCATGAGTCTAGATGGAATTCAAGGTAGCAGTCTCATTTTCTTTTTATTATTGAGGAATATTATATGAGGGATTTTAATTTGAATGGTGAATGAGCATTAATCCTTATACACCACTGCTTGCTCTATTGGGCTATTTGCAGGACATGTGTCTAGAGCTCCTCTAAAGCAGTTGTCGAATTTGGATCCGAGGATTGCACAGCTGTGCATCCAGAAAGATTACAAGGATGTTAGAGGGTGAAATTGGAATATCTGCAGTGTAGAGGAGGTAAAGGATCCATCCAAATACCCTGCTCCTAGAGGACAATAGTCAGTGTAGGCCGGCGGACTCTGAAGGATTAGGTAGAGGATATTTGAAAGGGTGCAGTTTAGTTTGTACAGGCCTTCATGCAGCCAAATATTTGTGACACATTGAGAACTCCGCCCAGTATTCTTTGGACTCGAGAGATGAGGAATGAGTATATGTGGTGCAAGTCTATGAGCAGTCGGTATCCATTAGTGAAATAGAACTAAAAGAAAATTTTTCATTTATTACATCTAAAAATAATCATGTACCAACATTAAACTTATTTATTACTTAATTCGAAAAGAATTTTGATCATCCATGTCTATCAGACAATTTATCAAGATGATCTTAAGAGATGATTTCATTGATAAAAATATCAAGGATCAACCGATGATTACTTGACGTTCAATAACTTACTTATGTTCTATATTATTTATTATATTGGCTCAGAAATTTAGGTTTTTAAGTGAACTTACTTTTTATAACTCAAGTTTTGATGATTGTGTTTCGGAACTTTTTGTAATTAATAATATTATAAGATGTATTTAACATTAAAAAGTTATAAATTATCATAAATAATTTTTAAAAAAGTCAAATTAAGGCTTTTCCGAGAAGGTAAATAATTAATTACACACCTTCTGTTGAAAATTTTCTAAATTTCGGCTTAGTTATTGTAAACAGATGATTCATAAAAAGCAATTTACCACCTCCCTGTTCAGATTCTGTGGATGATCAGAGGTAAAATTGTGGCAATTCAATTGAATGAAATAGTGATCTCAGTGATATTTCAGATGCCAATAATATTTCAGAGTTAGAAGCCGTTTTAAAAATGACAAAACGAAAGTTCTCATAGGAAAAAGTCAGAACAGGAAAAAGGGAATTGAATATTTGATGTGATAAATGATTTCAACCCTCAATTGGCACAAGAGAGCCTTCACTCAATCCACTCGTGTTTTGTCTCTTTGATTCAATTTTTGATATTTTATTGCGTGCTTTTTTTTAATAAAAAATAATTAGTGGTGAATAAATTTTGTTTATTGTGTGTATCCATCCTTAATAACTCTTATTAAGTAAAAAATCTACCAATATGTCCTAATAGATTCACAATAACAAACAAAATCATTCATAAGTCGTTAATAATACAAATCCTCATGTCTTAAAGTAAATAAAACTTCTTATCTCTCAAATTCACACGTAAGCTAATTTACTGATGCATTAGTTCTTTTTTATTAGTGATCCTTTATCTGATACAGACTGATATTTCTATTGAGAAATTATTTGACCATCAAATTCAGAATGACCTTGTAACTGAAACTCTGTCGTGATTTGAGTTGTTAAAAATATTAAAATACTAGAATATAAATATATAATATATANATACAGAAAATATTTTGTTACAAAAAAAAATAAAATAAAATAAAATAAAATGCTATTCACCTTTTATTGCTAAGATATTTAAATTTTCTTTAAAGATTTCCTTAAAGATAATTGTTTATTGCTTGCTACTTGGTAGTGTAAATGACAGGGTTTACTCCAAAATACCCTGAGGAATATTGAATACTCTGGGGTAATGTGAATGTAATTTATTAATGTTTATTAATTTAGAATTAATTTATTACAGCAAGATCTGAAAGAAATAGAAGACAGAAGTGTAAATGATTTTACATCAATAAAATTATCAAAAAGCTAAATGTAAAAATTCGTTTTTATCAAATTTCCAAACTTTCAAAGGACGTTTGGCCAGACTATCTAATGTAATAAATATTTGACTTGATTGCACTCTTATCCGTGTATTTTTGCTAAATTTTGGTCTCCCAGAATTTGTTAATGATCTTTGATGATTTTCTAGGTTGACCAAAAACAATAAAAAGCTGAAGAAAGTTTATTCAGAGATGATTGAATTTCTTAAATTAGTTGACTTGCAGTAACTCTGATTAACAATAGATGTTATTAAGCAATTATTCAGTTTTAAGGCATTTAAGACAAAGGGAATAAAAAAAAACAAAAAAACAAAAAAAACAACAACAATCTCATTTTGAAAGTGACTAATCACAAAATACAAACTACTACCATTTCTTTAGTATGTTCAAATAAAAGGTTAAATTTGTTTCCTTACATTTTTAAAAATTATATAAAAAATAGTATAAGTATAACTATTATAAAAAATAGTTTTATAATTGTATCACTGTTGACACAAGCTTTTCTGGTTTTTGTAAGAGAAAACAACAACAATAAATAAAAAGCATGACCCAATGAAGATGTTCCTGCTTACTTCTTTAATTTCACTCAATTAATTGTACAAAATTTTTTCGAAATGAAAAATTTGTGTCACAGGCGGGATTTGAACCCATGACCTTCGGCTCAATACGCCGCTGCTCTAACTGCTTGAGCTATTGGGACTTTGATCGCCTATACCACAATCTTCTCATTTCGACTTCCTGTTTATTCCAGTTAAGTTTCAGTTATTTAATTTTAGCCCAGTTTTGACCAGACAACCCATTTTTACTGTTTCTGCATTGATAACATACATTTTATTGCTATTTTATGAATTAAATAACTTAATTTGATGGTAAAGACTGGCACTTTTACAAAAACATTCTGGAAGTGATATGCTTAGAGAAAAAACTTATTACTTAATTATTGTTATTTTTAAGACTTGAAAACCATACCTATTTACATTAAATGCTTGTTCTCACCATTTTCATTTTCATTATTAAACATCTTTGTGATAGCTCTTTATTATTAGCATTTTACATAATAAATTCAATAGCTCGGGATCATGAATAAATTGTACACAGGTCTTCTACCTTCATGTGTATGATATATGAATGGATGTATTTATTTGTATGAATGGAGTGATAACCCCCAATTTCCCCAAAGAATAGTGAGTACTTTGGAGTAGTATGAACTAAGTCTGGTTTGTGCACGATATTTATTAACGAGAATGGCAGGATTTATCCCCAATTACCCAGAGGACTATTGAGTACTCTGGGGAAGTGTGAATGCAATTTATTAGCGTGAATGGAGAGTCTTATCCCCCATTACACCGAGGAATATCAAGTGCTATAAGGTACATAAATGCAAACCAGACTATCATGATTTATCTGGTTTGTTGTTATTTGTGTTATTTTATGCACAATCGACGAAGCCCTAGGGCTCAGAGAAAGAGAGGCTAGCCATAAGATAAAAAAAAATAGAGTTTGTTACTATAAAACATTATCATAAAACATCTATAACTTGATTGGAGAAACATGAAAAGAAAGATAGGAAGAAGGCTGGCAAAAAACAAATTAACATTTTATGCATATTGTAATAGCAGATCTGTTATAGGTCATTAACAATAAACACAAATTACCTTTTTATACTTTTTAAAAATTTAAAATAATGAGAAATAAAATCAATAGCCTAATATTATATTTTGTCTATAAATATAGATTCGTTATCATTTTCTTTCTAATATTTCATTTTTTATTAAAAAATCATGCGACAATCTTTTTTATCAATGACACGTAAGATAGTAGAGCAAAGAATTATTACTATTATTATTATTTTTTCACTGAAGACATTACATCTATCAGTTTATCGTTTAAATTATTGATAACTATTTAAGGATAGGGTGGAAAAGAAAAAATCCTGCTTGACATTAATATTTATTATCATCAATAAAATGTACCGCTTTCTTACTTTCTATAAACACTGAAAAACCTTGATTTTTTTGATATTGTATTATGTAAAAATTGTCCTGAATCAGTACACTTAAAATGAATGGGAATAATCCTTGAAATAACTGAAAAAAAGTATTAAATACAAAATAAAGGATATAAATAAATATACTTACATTTGACCATAATTATCCATTTATTTAAAATTCATACATTTGTATAAAAATCCTTATATCGTTATATATCTATATATAATCTGCTATATATACATAATATATTAATATCCTAACATAATCCTTATCCAAGACATTTAAAATTTTCAGCATCAATCAAACAGTGACATTTTTAAATCATATTTAGATCTGTTTGTTTAATTGTTCAATTATGCAGAAGTTGCTTGAAATATAAACGATTAAGGATGGTGAGAACAATGATAGAGAAAAAAATACTTATATTGGTTAAAAAAAATCTTAATTTTTGCCGATCGGTGTTATAACTTTCGTGTTTTCGTGGTTTTTGATCATAAAATAATTTTATTGAAGGTAAACATCGTATAAAATGCTTTTATACTTTTTATTTTGGGTTTGTTACAATATATGGAAAATGTATTAACAATTTGGGATAATATATTACATAACATATTTAAAATAGAAAAAAGTTTTGCTTATTTATTTTGGAGAAACAAATGGATAGACTCAATCATTCTATTTTATTATAATATTTAAAGTCTTTATTACAAGATTACTTAAATATTCATGAAATATAAAACTACATCACCTAAAGTTTACAGTGTTAAAAGGTAAATTTCTCAAGATGTACTACTTCCCACCAATTTGGGCTCGTTTTAATTTTTAATTGACAATTTAGACAGAGAGGGGGAGCCCTAATAGCCTTTGAGATAAGGGAGTGAACTGACCACTTGAAGCATAGTTCTATTTTAGCTTGAGCCTCACTCACACACTAACGCAACTCTGCCTTTAAACTTTCTCACGTCTTACGAAGAGCCTGTGTGTTGTGTACCTTTATCGAAACAACAACTTATTCAACCGGTGAGCCTTTTATTATTTACAAAAATTTATATTATTCATATACAGCCTTAGTTTTTACCTCTTAGGCCCTACCTTTTATTTTACCTCTAAACAATTGCTCAGTTTATTTGGTGAAAAGTTTTCATCTAGTTTTAACCTATGGAATCTCTTTAATAATATCTCTCTATAATAATAATTAATAATTTTAGCACAGTAATTTAAACAGTTTCTAAATGGCACAGTTTAAAATCACCGTCAGAATTGAATTTAAATAAAAAAGCAACGTGAAAAATCATTTAAAGGGTAAAATTGTATAGATTTCATAATTTTTATGATTCAGTGACGTATATAAATTACATCTGCTTGTTGCTATCGCTGTTTAATTTTTACAGTTGATTTAAACTTGTGACATTGTTATTATAGTTTTATTGGAAAATTTATGCTTTTGTGATTTCAATATAAATAATTATTGAAAAATATTTAAATTTAAGAATAAATATTTTTTTTACAGATCAGCATTGTTGAAAGTAGCAATAATTATGCTGGATAATATGCTCTGTTTATTAATGTTTTTTCTGACATATTTACAATCAGTAATAAAATAATAATTACAATCCAATGCGAATAAACTTGAAAATGTAGTATTTATGAGGTTAATAAAAAACAGACCCACACTTGTTTACATTTTCATGTATTGTGTTAATGTTTAATGCAAATTAATTGATCAAATGCCCTTGAAAAATTGTGTACTGTGAAAAGTCAGTAATAATTGATAAATTCACAGGTTTATGAGGTGAATATTATTTTGTAGATGTTTACATCCAGTGGACCGAAAGATCATGTCTTAAGGTCATACACGTAGTTTAACATCTATTTTTGTTTTCTGGTGTAATATTTATTTTTAGCATTATTTAAACATATATTTCTTAGAAAATCCACAATTAGTATTGAAAGACTGCCATTTTGTGTCATTAGATTTATTATCCCACATTAATTGATAAACCATGTTTAATGTTTTTTGTTGTTGTTGTTGTTGAAAAACTTGAAAATTTTGAACATTTCTGTTTCAGCATCGAGCGAACGAGTTACCAGCCTGATCAAACAGCACACACTGTCAAACGATATGTGATTTAATAGACTTTGTTGAACTCAAGTACCTGATATGTCTATGAAAGAAGTGCACTTCGAAGGAACCCCGCCGTGGGGTTTTAGAATGAATGGTGGGGCTGACGCCAGCCACCTGTTAAGAATTTCTAGGGTGAGTATACTAAATATAAAATGGCCTGTCAATCAAATATTACGTCAAACTTAAAATTTCTTTGTTGTTTACTGAACAATTTTACTTCATAAGTTACACTAATCTATGAAATATTCACATTATTGCAAATCTTGACAAAACCTGTACATCAAAATAACAAAAGTGGGTTAGTGACATTTTGAAATATAAGCGGGCATTTGATTTCCAAGAAATGTATTCCGAATAACTTAACTGGGTTGCAAGTATGCTATAAATAGAGGGGGGGGAATCAGTGCCAATAGTTGCACACTCTATACTATTACTATGTGAATGACAATATTTCTATCGGGTCATTGCTTATCCTATTGTACTTTTGTCGTAATTGTTTATAAGTATTATAAATTTTTTAAAAGATTTAATAATAAATTTATATTTTACTCCTTTTTTAATGGTGTATTCATTTTGTAAAAGATTAATTCAAGCTTACATTTTGTTTTAACCCGGGGTGTTGGCAATTTATGAAAATTAATTTCTGTAGCTCATATTTTCTAATATTCCTAGAAAAAAAGGCCGTTTCACTTTGGACTAAGGGCCTCTTTGTGACTGGGTGGAGTGTCAGTAATTAATGGAACAAGGGAGTGCCTGTTTATTAATTCCACTTGCCTAAGGTTATCAACCATTAGGCTTGTAAATTCCCATTCAAAGGAAACGTCTTACTTTAAAAAAAAAAAATCTATCTTAGATGTTCTTGTTTTAACTTTAAATTGATTTGCGACTTAGTCAACATATCAAAAATAAAAAATTGATTTGTCAGGTTCTGATATATTATTGACAAAGAATAAAATATGGACATCATAAATTTATAATATTCTGTTTGTACTGTGCCAAAAAGCCAAGATAATATTTAACGGACAAACCTGCTTATTAGCAGAAGAAAACTAATAAAACATGGAAAATACGAACATGAAACCAAAACCTGTTCATTAGGGCATTAAAAAGTTGGTCATAACGATTAATTAATGAAATCTAAAAAAAAAGTTAACAACCGGTAACTTTTAGCATAACAAAGAATAATTTTAGCTATAACATTGTTCTTATTTTATCAATTTTAAATGGTAAAATTTTACTTTTATGCTTTCTTACCAATTCGGCTTCTATCTGCCATTTTAGATCCAGCAAGGTTTCAAAATTTTTGACATTTCCTCCGCTTTAGAGAACAAAGAGTTGCATTATTTGATCTGGCCCATGCTTTTGACACAGACCCTCTGTGAAATTAAACACTTCCTACCCATATCTTATTACCTTATCATGGAATCCTATTTAACTGATCTCTTCTTCAGAGCAAAGTGCGGCAATGATTACTCAGATATCGTACTAATGTAAGATGTTATGTTTGGAGTGTGTAATATACAGTGCTCTTTGAAAGCTATTGCATCCCCCGTTCTGTACCTATAACACCTAGTTCACCAAGAAACTTGATTAGTTTAGGCCGGTTTAACTGTTTGTATTTCTTCTATGGTTAAGTTGTCCCAAAACACTGCGGGCAGATGTAGCGAGTTTGTTAGTAGGTGTATTGGTGTCTCCTCTGTCTCTTTGCAGAATCTGCATGTAATTTGTTGGATAGTACCAATCGTCTTCAGATACCTAGTCCATCTGCAGTGTTCTATTAAGTTATTCTGTTATGATTCAAAAACTTTTTCCTACTTCCCTTGATGCATTCTGTTGTCTCTTTCCTTCCAAACATTTGCTAAAAGGTTCTGAAATTGTTTTGAGTCCAGTACAAGCCAGTGTCCCACAAGGGAGCAGTCTTGGTCCTGTTCCTTATTACATTTAAATAAATTACACCACAATCTGAATCCTGTCCAAGCTACCTCATCCAAGAACACCTCGAGTTTATTTTGATAAATTGGTGCAAAAAGTAAAGGACTAGTCTGAAGGGGGAAGAATGTACCCAGTGTACATCTACAGATCAGGATTATAACGAGAGCAGACTGATGTGGAAACCCCACACAAGATTTAAGAGACAACTTAACAGAAAATTTGGACAGCTAAGGAGATTTTTAGGACGAAAATCTGTTTTCATTGTCAAAACTCTACATAAAGACATTACTGCACCCATTCTGATCATACAGAATGAAACTGTGCGGTTCCGCCAAGACATCCAATATTGGGCATATCCAATCAATAGTCCTCAAACAAATTTTCAAAGCTCCTTGTTATGCCACTAACCTTGCTATCCAGAACAACCTCAACAATCCTTTTGTCGATAAACCGATTTGATCCTGCTTTGTTCAAAAATTTCCGCACCAAGCTTGATCCATCATAACCCTAGAATTTTTATTCCCCTTCCACCCCCTAGACACCATTCTAGTAGACCATGGCTAAATTATTAGAATTTAAAGACCATTTGAGAAGAATTCTTTAAGATTGGGTCTTGTTTCTTTCTGCACTTTTTTCATACTTCATCCGTTTGACATCATCTTGGTTGGATTCTATTTTAAACCTGTACAGATAAAATAAAAATTTATGTAATCCAGTAATCTGAAAAGACCCAAGTAAAAGCCACCGTTTTACATTTTGTAAATATTCATACATTAATCTGTTTTTAAACAAGTTTGCCAATTTCAATCATTCAGCGTTTTTGTAGATTTTTGCTTCCTTCAGAGTCACATTTTTGAGCCATTCTATTTTCTTTTTGATCGGGGAAAAAACAATATTAAAGAGTGTGTAGAGATTAGTGACCGTTAATCTATAGTTATTCAGATATCGTGAGATGCGGTCGGGAGTGATGTAGGTTTCAGAAAAACATTTTCTTTATCGTGCCAACGTTTCGATCTTTTATTGAGATCATCTTCAGGGCCTGGGATTTCAAANATGTAAACATTGTTTGTAAATCCCAGGCCCTGAAGATGATCTCAATAAAAGATCGAAACGTTGGCACGATAAAGAAAATGTTTTTCTGAAACCTACATCACTCCCGACCGCATCTCACGATATCTGAATAAATATTAAAGAGATTGTTCATCGAAAAATATTTAAAATTGTTAGATGTAGATTAGTTAAAGCACAAAGAAATCTTTTTTTTTACTAAGCAATTTTAAGTAATTCTTAATGAAATCATTATTGATTATGTAATCTATGATTAAACTTCTTTTCAGGGCTAAAAAAGACAAAAGTTTGAAATCACTTGGTAGACCAATTAGCAAATTAGCAAGAAAGGCTGATGCGATGATCAAATTACAAAATTAACTAATTATGAAATGTATACATGGAAAAAAAAAATAGTCCTAATTTATTTTGTGCCTTTTAGGCGCTTGTGAAATTGATGAACAACCAAGATTAGAAATCCATTCGATAAGTTGTAACATTTTCAGACTCTCTCAAGTATAAATTAAGTCTTAGATACATATTGTAACTTAATCAATCAAGGTGATAATTCTAAAGTAGTAATGATTGAGGCAAAATATATTAAAAAACATTGTACTTTTGTAAGATGATGTGGTTGTGATGCTACAAAATAGATAAATTAAAGTATAAAGTAATTTTCAGTTCCTGACAAATACTTTTTATCATGGCTACTCAGTTTACTTGCTATTTTTTAGTATAAATAGATTAAAATAAAATATAACATTCAACCCAATATTGAAGGGTGGGTGGTCGTAATGGTTTAGGTGGTGACAGAAAGCTGTAAGTTCAGGTGTCGGGTTCGAATCTGGCACTGTATTTGGGCTTTTTTCAAAAATTGTTGGGATATGACTTCTGCTGTTGAGAATCCCCATTTAAAATAAATAAATAAAAATAAGTGTATTTTAATAGTTGTATGAGTCATGATTAAATTTGAATTGCTCCAAGAAAAGGGATGGGATTTTAAGATCCATGCCCGAGAGAATATCCCTCAATCAGTCTGATTATAATTTTTTAAAATTTGCCTGATTCCTTTTTTTAATACTATTATCTTTAAATAATCAAGGACAATAAAATTGATTTGTGAACAGGATAAACTTTTTTCGTCATCTCTGCCTTGAAATTTTGCCAAGTGACCCCCTATCCCCTGGATACTATACGCAACTATAGTATGCTCTTAGATCACTATGTGCATGACATGACAACAAAATATGTTTGCAGGTTGCACATCACAGGTGTTAGGTGACCCTTGCTGATCCTACAATGCCCTATTTTCAACTTAATCAGGACAACCTACTCCCCTTTTCTCGCAGGTTAAACTTATTTACACAGACATTCACATTTTATACACTATTTACAAGTGAGGAAACACCCCCGTTTCTCTTAAAAAGCAGAATAGGGGATCCAACATCTGACTTGCTCACCCGAGTACCGTTTTTATGTCGGGGTTCAAGCCTACTTGCTCCCTGTAGGGGGCCAAGGCACGGCACTCCTCGACAAGATGAGATACACTGAGCAACCTTTCTCTACAAGCGGGCCTGGGACTTATTAATATTGAGAGAGAGAGCCCATTTTGATCAGGCCAGGATGGCATTTAGGTCCTCTTGGATTATGTGTGATTGAGATTTGAAAGTCATGAGGTGAAAAGGAGAGAAAGTCATTCAAGTAGAGGCGATAAGTGCAATATTTAAAGATATTTGGAAGATCATTTAAAGAATAAGGCGGATAAAGTGGAGCCTTGAGAAACACCAGTAATAATAACTGTTATATATGTTTTCATTAAACAAAAAATTGGATGATGAAATATTAAAATTTGAGATTAATATTTTTGTCAAAGTTAACAAGTCTATTTTCTTTTATAAATAATGAATGACAAGCAAATTTAATAGTATTTATAAAATTCTGTTGGGATTAATAAATAAATAGTGCTAAGAAACGCATAAATTATGTGAAATTATAATATATTAGATAATAAATTTTCTTAGTTTTTGTATATTTTCATTTATACAAGTATTGAATGCAATAAAGTATATATTTTATTAATGAAATATATTTCAAATATTTTTTAATGTATTATGTATTTATATTAATTAATAAATACTTTTTATTTACTTTTTCCTGTGAGTAAAAGAGCTTTTATGTGTCTAAAAAGCGGAATGGTTTAAAGTAAAGGCAAAGTTATTTTAAACAACAAACAATAGAGATAGGTCATTGAGAATACGTGAACGTATGCAAAGTTTTGCTTATTACCAGCACGTATTAGTAAATTACGCCAGTCTTTCAATCCAGAAATAGTTGATTTTTTTTCCAATTAAACTGTATCACGATACGTGCTCGGATGAAAGTGATTCGGTGCTTGAGGAACGAGAGAGAGAGAGAGAGGAGAAAAAATTTGGCTTGTAAAAAGGTGATTGGGTGGCTGACCTTGGGCATGGTCTTCCCTCCTCAGTTCACACCTGAATGCTATTGTCCATGGTACATCTAGGAATGCAGCCCCTGTACTTAGCAATCTTGTCACACTTGGGCCACAACAGTATCTCTTCAGACACCTCACAGTCATGTACACCCGACTATTGAGTCTTCAATATTTTTTCTTTACAAAAGAATTCATTAAATCACATGAATTTTTTGAATGTTTCGTGTTTAATTAGTGATTTTACTTGTAATGGGTGTTATATTAAATAGTTACACAAAATTACAGTGTTATTTTTAGTGTTTTTTGCATTATTTGTTTAGAAACAAAAATTAAAAAAAAAAAAATTTACGAGTTAAATTAAAAATGGTTCGAGTTTTAAATATTTCTGATGCTCATGTACATCTACATTATTCTGCTCGGAGATTTAGGGATCATCTAGTGAGACACATAGAGAAAAAGGAAAACGACGATAAAAAGGTACTGCACAGGGAATAATTTTTTTTACGTTCTAAATCATTTCAACATGTTATTACGCATATTAATGAGCCAGACAAACGCCCAGAGAGATAGGAAGTTGTTTTATCACTCTGGGAATACACAAAGGGGTGGATGGCAACAGATGGCTTCTGAATCTTAATGATCCCCTGTATTGTATTAGCTCTGAAACAATCGTCAGTCAAGTACATTTGCTTGTAAACGTAGTTTCAGAAAATGTTTTGAAATGCTCAAGTTCTGCCCAAACTCTTATAGCTACATCAAGCGTACGGTTGGTTTTATTTAGTTGAAAGCTTGTTTTGAACTAAATCATCATTTATTAATACTTTTTACTACTGTTATTAAATAATTTAACTGTTCATTGACATCGATTTTTTATGGTTTTGTTATTTTTTTGTATGAATGCATTAGCCAACTGAGATTTTTTTAAATAATTCAAAATAGCATTTCAATTTTTCATTTTTATACTTACAATTAAAAACTATTTTATTATTATCATAGATTTCAAGTGCTATTCTTCATAATCCTTTTTTTTATTGAAAGAAATTTTGATTTTAGCAAAAAAATACAAATCAGTAACTTTTAAAGTTATACGTTTAATATTTACAGTATATTGAAATTTTTTACATTAATTTTTCATTTAACAGATAGTAAAGTTTTTAAAACATATTTTATTTTTCATTTAAATTTGCGATTCTTAAAAAAAAAGTTCAACGTACTTTTCATAAATAGAATTTGGCTATTGAACCGATTGTCATATCAAACAAATTTACCTTTTTAAAAATAAACTACCCGCTGAACATGTATGGGTTTGAATATAAGAAAAGTAAATAAACCATTAACTAAGGATCTGTGAACAATTGATATTATAATGAATCATAAAAAATAATTTGTTTATAGATTTATTCTTGGCATCTTATAGAATAGTTGCATTATTTTATTATTTTTTATAAAACAGATAGTAATTTTTACCATTTTTTGTATCAATCTGTTTACGAATACGGTTAATATTCTATCTGTAAACATAAAAAAAATAAATCGTCATATTTCTTGTTAAATATATTCAAATATAAATGGTATAAATTTATATTAAAATGTTAATATAACGGTCTGAATGTAGGATTAATTGAAATTTACATTTTAGGTAAACCCAGGTAGCAAAGCCGAACTGAAAGGGGTTAGAGAAGGAGACCTGATTACTTCTATAAACGGTCAATCTACAAAATGTTTGACTAATTCGGAATCTCATGCCCTTTTAAGGACTGTTAAAGAAAATTTGAGACTGGGATTAAATGAGTAAGTTTAATTAATTAGCTGAGAGATTATTTTTATTTATAAAAAAAAAAATTAATTTCTCCCACTTTGTTATCTTTTTGTATTGTTGTTTTACCGTAAAAAGTCAAATGGATTGTGGTAGGCATTCCAAACTGTACTTTTTTTGTATCTGTGGCAAGATGATTGAAGATATCGCTACAATTGCATCCGTGAGAATATCACGGGCTTGTTTGGTACCTCTATTATCCTGTACATTTTCAGTTTGTCACGCCTTCCATTCTTCCATCGCATACACCTCCAAAACGAGACTTTTTTTCCGGGGAAAATTTTTCTTCTTCCTCTTTATCTGTTTATTTCCTTTATTTTTTTATTTATTTTTTTTGTTTCTTACACCTTTTTCAGAGATAAAAATTCATCTCCTAGGAGAAGATCAAAGGAAATTAAATGTAAGTTGCATGACAAAAACCATTGCATGGTCGAAAGGTGGGATTTTATTCTAGAAATTTAATCAAAGTAGAAAAAAAAGCATTATATTAATTTTAAGAAATAACGTTTTCAAGCAATAAGTCTGCTACTTGCTACATCCACACGTACCTCTACCCAGCAAACCATAGCTATTATAATTACCGTAATTGCACTCTGACATCACCACACAGGTCAAAAGATGAGGCCTTGCCTTAGCTTGAATTCCACACCATCTCCGTGAGTCATTCAACTTCTCTTGTGTACTGATCTAATTTTTTCCCTTTGTATAGCACACTCACAACTTTTATTTAACAGCTTTTAGATGTAATACAAACAATAACTTAGCATAAAATAGTAGCACAAATAAATGCATTGTTTTGTTATGTTTATAAATTAGGAATTTCACATGCCTATAAAAATATTAACATTATTATAACTTAAAATATATTCTTAGAGTTTGAATGGGAAAATAATGATTCAACAATTGTACTTTTTTAAATGTTTATTTCTCATTATTTTATGATGGTAACAGTAATGTATAAATAGACTTGGATTTATAAAAGTAATACAAATTTTGCATTTGTTAAGCATTAAAATTCTACGATTACATTTTAAAATCAGATATTATACTGCCATGTTTCTTTTTGCTTTCAAATTTCTTTCTATTAAAGCAATAATTTTTTTAATAATTAAGGTAATTAATAAAACCTAGATTATTTTGCAACTTTTCACTTGTTTCTTCAAAAAAGTTGAAGAATTAGTTTTAGTATTTAGTTTATTTATTTATTTTTTTAATGTATTTTACTTCCGAAAATTTCGTTTTTTTTTTTAAATCTTGTAAAGCGTTTCCAACTTTATTTTTTAGTAGAAACATTTCAAGGCTCTTTCTGCCTCCTCTCAGTATATTTTTTTAAGTGTCAACAAACAGCTCAAAACAAAATAACTTCTAGGTTCAGGTATTATACCTGCCAGTATTTCTTTTTTCTTTCAAATTTCTTTCTTTTAAAGCAATAATTTTTGACTAAGGGAATTAATAAAGCCTAGATTATTTTGCCACTTTTCATTTGTTTCTTAAAAAAGTTGAAGAATTAGTTTTAGTATTTAGTTTATTTATTTATTTTTTTAATGCATTTTACTTCCGAAAATTTCGTTTTTTTTATATTTTCCAACTTTATTTTTTAGTTGAAGCATTTCAAGGCTCTTTCTGCCTCTGCTCAGTATATTTTTTATTTTAAGTGTCAAAAAACAACTCAAAACTTTTTATTTTTTTATTTTATTTATTTTTTATTTTTTTTAAACCTCCTTTAGTTTGATCGAATAAACCTGCTGCACTAGAAAATTTTGATTTGGTAGATTAGGCTTGGCAATTTGTTGCATAAAATATTTTGCGGATCAGATTTTGCTGATATTTTATAGCACAAGAAATAAAATCAATAAACACTATTTAATGACCAAATAAAATTTAAAAACTAAGTTTTATTTCTAAATTACTTAAAAGCTAAAGCTTTCTTGCTAATTTTGTGTAAATATTTTTATGCTGTTTACAAACTATATTGATATGCTTATAGCTTACCTACATTTTAACTTTGCAAACCAGTTAATAATTTATGTTAATTAATTGTGAATAAGTTTTTGGTCATTGTTTCATTTTCTGGAAGTTGTAAAATGTTTTAAAATTATACAAGAATTTAATTCCTTAAGAATATTACTGATTCAAATAAATTTTCATTAATAATTAGCATGTAGTCTTGACCTCAAAAGACCAGGAATGTTGTGAATATGAATTAGAATTGTATGACCTATTATGTAGGGAGTGTTTTTATGCTTGAGTGATCTTAAATTGTTGAAATAAAGGGAGTGGCAAAAGCACCCAGTCTTAGTCTTCTCCTTGTGAAACCGGTGTCTCGACGAGCATAAAATCAGTTTCTGTTTTGATACGGTTTAGTTTAGACAGACATGAAATTTTTGAAATGTGGCTTCTTGCCCTGTGGAAAATTGACATGCTATAGATTTTTTCGAAATTTGAACTGTTCAAAGTTAGACCGTTCTCTGGCTTGCGGTTCACCTTCGCTGAGCCGCAGGCTTAGGTTAAAGCGTGTAAACCGTCGGAGATGTAACAAATCAGGTAATTTCCCAATCAAATCGATTCGAGTAACAAACTTGTTGATGTTTGGATATGCAAAGTGTACAAGTCGAACCTTTATCTGATTGACCTTGCATCTAGGAAGTACATTATGTGATCCCAGGGGTGAATGTGACTAATTTAATTGAAACCTTATTTCCTCAACCCAATTTATCACACAGTAGTAGTAGTACTATATGAACGGTGCTCTTAATATTGTTTTTCCAAATGTCGTTCATAAATAAATAATCACTTTTATTTTCTCTATTAAAAAAAAATCAATTAAAACTCTTTAATCATTAACTAAATTATTCACTAATAATAGACAACAAAAAAGCCCGCTATCTTTCAACTAATTATATCATTGATTTTTATTAATAACCAAAATAATAAATCATCAAATCTATTCATAATGTAGATAATTTTTGGAGATTAAGATTACTGATTGATTTTTTCTCTCTTGTCCTGCAGGATCACAAGTTCGATTCTGTCGTATCCTTGCAGTTCAGTGAAATTTTCAACAAACTATGCATAGTTTAAAAAAAATATAAATGTGCAAATTTAAATTATTTATTTTTAAATCTGTAAATTCTACTTTTATAGAATGAGGTCAGAACCGATAATTTGACAATTAGTGAAGCTTCACGCGACAATTGTGACCGCTTAATTTTAAGTGGGTTACTTTTGAGGTCATTTAACAAACGTAGAGTTGTGAAATTATTTTTGGGTGTTTAAAGCTATTTTTTTTATTAACTATTAGCAAAATGTTTAGTTAAAAAACAAATTAAAATTTTGGTTCCTATGCTTGAATTGGGTTTAGTGGTGAATATGATACACCATTTTATAATCAAACTTTTATGGTCTTGGAATTTAATGATTTTATTAAAGAATAATGTTAATTCACATGACATATTAGTCAGTATATTTATTTTCCAGGGGAAAAAATAGAAAATTTTAGGGTAACTTTAAAAACCAGTTTTGAGATATTTTTTGATTTGTCAATGTCCACAACCCTTTTGGTAATGAAGATTACTGGGCAAAAATGCAGACATTTTTAGGGTAATTTTAAAAGGCAGCCTTGCGTTATTTTTTAGATATATATTCCTTCAACACTCTTTACACCAATTAAAAAACCAAACTGAGAGTCGGTGGGGACTACTCAATATTTTGCAATTGGCTGGCTCTCTCATTGTACATTCTCGCCAATAAATACATTCACTCTCAACACATGCTAGATAGTATTACATCATCCAAAAAATTGGAACAGTGGACTCAGATATTCTCAAGCATGATTCTCATATCGGGGATTCTCTTGCGTTATTTTGGGTTTGTCATTTTCCAACCCTTTTGGTTATAAAATTACTGAAAATAAAATTAAAATGCAGACCGTTTTAGGGTAATCTTAAAAGGAAATCTTGTGTTATGTTGAGTTTGTCAATTTCCAAAGCTTTAGGTGATGAAGATTACAGAAAAAAATCAGACTTTTTAGGGTACTCTTAAAAGGCAGTCTTGTGATATTTTGGGTTTGTCAATTTCCAAAGCTTTAGGTGATGAAGATTACAGAAAAAAATGCAGGCTTTTACGGTAATTTTAAAAAGCAGTCTTGTGTTTTTTTTTAGGTTTGTCAATTTCCAAAACTTTTGTTGATGAAGATTACTGAAAATAAAATAAAAATGCAGACATTTTTGGGGGTAATCTTAAAAGGCAATCTTGTGTTATTTTACATTTGTGATTTTTCTAAACCTAGCACGTTGTATTTCTCAATTTGTAGTAGTTTAACAACCGGAATTATTTATTTTTGGGTCTTTTGTGTGACACAAATGATATTTAAAGCTATTTTTGTTGTAAAGAAATAGAAACAATTTTTATGAAAAGTAAAAAAAAATCAGTTCCTATCATCTTAAATTGTGGTTAAAGGTGAATATGATATTCGATTTGATAATCAAACTTTTATGATCTTGGAATTTATTTATTAATTAATAATGTACATTTCCACGCTAATGTAATAAAATGACACAGACATGTCTGTAAATTTATTTTCAAGGGAAAAAAATTTAGGGTAATCTTAAAAAGCAGTCTTGGGATATTTTGTGGATTTGTCAATGTCCACAACACTTTTGGTAATAAAGATTACTGGGCAAAAATGCAGACATTTTTAGGGCAATTTTAAAAGGCACCTTGTGTTATTTTTTAGATTTGTCAATTTATAATAGTTTAACAGCCGGTTTTTGTCTTGAATTCCGACACGAACACGTGTGAGGTTAGTGTTAATCTCATTCGAAAATAGTCATTTCTGTTTTCCCACTGCGGTGGGAAAATAATCGGTTTTGGGAGCGGGTGCAAAATTGAATCGGCGTGAACTGGAATATACATCTAGAGTGTATGCCTTCGGACCGGGGTGCTTCAGTTTTCAATGGAAACCACCGACCGCAGAAGCCGCTGGAGAATGCGGCCAGCCGACTTGGCCAGAATTTCACAGTTCGTCCCTTTCATTTTCTATTTAGTTATTTCATTTTTAAACTATTACTAGTTGGTATTTTTAGAAACGGATTTTTATCTGTGTGAACGTGAAAATCCGTTTACAAAAATCTTCAACTTAGTGTCAAACATTTTTACTATTCATTTCCCCGCGAAGTTTCAACTAGAATAGCTTAAAGAGATCTAGAATAAGCGGCAAGTGTTCAATTAAGTTAATTACATACGAAATGTTCGCATAAACGCTATTGAAATTCATACGGTACCGGCATTGGGTCACTTAACGGGCCCGTCTTCATCTGCAAGTGTTCAACACGAGTTTAACCTTTTTTTTCATTAGAGTTCGTGGTCCGATTGACCGAATAATTTTTTTCAATTAGTTAA